TACAGAGAAATGCTTCCGTGGCTTTTTATCTTGTCTCCATAGCAGCCTACAACCACATGGTCATTCGGAGTAAGGCAGATACATTTCGGACGGGTTGGTACTGAAAATACAACGCCAGTGATTTCAGTATCATGATACTCGGTAATAGAGTTGTCAGAACAGGCAATCCAGAGCCGAGCCGTGGTATGGCTGATACCGATGTCCTCCACACAGTCTCGTGCCACAAGTGACTTAGTGATGTCACCGTTCACATCCGCCAATGATACCTTCTTTTCTCTATCAAAGGCAATCCACGCACCATCCACTGTGGCACACAGAGACGTGAATGCATTGGAATGTTTGAAATGTGAAACAGTAGCAATGTTGTATTGTATTGTGTTGGTCTCCTGACTTGAGACACTCCGATGTGATTGGTTATCAGTGGAATCCAACAGACAACTTTTACCACCTTCTTGTGTGTCCTGGTCGTGTATTTCCCTTGTATCGGAACATGGAATGCTTTCAGCAGGCACCTCTACATTACCCTCAGTTTGTATAGAAGCGCCAATTCGGTCAGCATGGTTTTTTTCATATCCCTGTTGGTGATTGATAACTTGTCCGGTTGACACTTGATCCTGCTTTCGTGTAGACTTATCCGCGCTTTGTCCACTACTTAATATTCCAAATGCACTCCTTACATCATCGAGAGGCTCAGTGTTCTCAACATAGCTGAATTTAATTTGCTTCGGTAATGGCGGAACTTCAACGTCAAGATCTAAAATTTGCTGTTCAATTTCAGTCATACAAGTACATGACGAACTTGTAACAGTTGATCGATATTTTTGAAAACCAGAGCGAAACTTTTTAAATTCCTTTAACAGTGTATTTTTGTGTTGTTGTATAGTTTTGACTTGTTCCTTTTGCATCAGACTACAGATATTTACGTATCCCTCTGTCAACCTTTCCACAAGTTTGTGGATATTATGACCTTTTGACTCCAGCCTCTGTATCAAATTCATATAATACACATTAATCTCTTTCAATTTTCGTTCTGCTTCTTCAATTTGTCTTTGGAACTGTAGAGTTTTACTTCTCTCTCTGTCTCCAATGAATCTTTGAATACTGTCCATGCTTTCCAAAATAAAAGACATGTTTACCTGTAAAAGAGAATTTCTCTTTTTAACCACAAAACGATTTTCAGTCTGGAAAGTCAGGCGTGAGGTAATGTTGTACCTGCTAGAACTGCCTACTTATCTATACTTCCGGGTTTCAGAGTACAAAGGTATAAATAAACGCGGTGTTTTTAAGTGTGTATTGATGTCGTGGTTCTACTACTGGGTTGAATATTTCGAGTGTTTACATCACTCTCCAAACATTAAACTTCCGGGTTTTAGTTTCACGTGTTGAGTACATATGTCTTCAATGTACGATCACGGCTTGTTACACATGGCGTAACTTAGTGTGAACATCATCTACGCGAATAGCCGTGTCTTGATACACATGGATTCAGTCGGATGGTTGTTATGCTAGATTTGAATACAATAAACCATGTGTGGTAATATGACGACTCCCCTCCTCAACAGCTAACACTTAAATCATCCATACATTCCATCTGGCATCGTAGAAAACAAAGATCCATACTGATATTTCTCCTGAAGAGAGAGACGATATGCTTAATAACCAGAAATCTTCCTGAAAGAATTATCATAATGAAAACAGAGAGAAAAAAAAAATGTATTTAAATATAACATTTGATGTCTTTTTCATGTACTGATTTGCTCAATTATATATTCTCTGACACAAGTTTGGATCAGGAAAAACATCCTCATCTTTAATCACCCAAGTATTATGTATATTAGGGCGAAACAGTTCCACACGCTGGTAAACAATAAACTAGACAAGTGTATGGCTTAACTAATGTCACCGGTCCTTCTAAATTACTACTGTCCTTTTTAATAAAATCAATATGCCTAGGTAATCTATTGATTTTTGGAACTGAGGTGTCATTATAATCAGTTTAAAAGTTTTACAGCTACTTTGTACAATCTATAATACAGATAACACCAAAACACTAGATTAAAAAAAGACACCAAACTGCATTAAGTGAGTACTGATAAATCACCTGATCAGTGATTAATTGGTTTGTGTGTTGCTGACAGATATATACAGCATTACGTAATACTGTTATTGATGTGAGAAGGTTATTTTATGTATGGGACAATGTACAAAAGAGAAAAGAAAACAATAGAAAAAACAAACATTCTTTTGTAGATTTTATAAATAGCGGTATAAAATGTTGGTTACGCCGCGCAGTGATTACTGTACTCGACCGTCACAATAGCGGTTGACATTGGATACCCTTTTCAGAAATGAAAACAGTATAGGATTTCCTGCCTGATCATTATGTTTCCCGCTTACCTTAGTGAAAAAAAATTCAGGGTACACACATCCGAGATAAAAACAGTGATGGATATCAGTTCATAGGCTTTGTAGGTTCATTGTTATTATGTAGATTCAGTTTCTTAAAAAATTATTAACACTTAGCTGTAACACGGTTTAATTCACTGAAAACATGGATTTGTGGCTTACCTGAAATGGAAACATTTATGTCACCCGTGCGTGAAAACAGAAGTTGTATATATGCATTAACTTGCTAGAACTGGTAAATTGTAACTCACAGATTAAAGAAAAAAGTACTGAAAAAACCCAGACGCAAACCTCGAAAATAAAAGATATAAACTTAAAGGTATTGTTAAACCAGCAATTGATTAGGTAATTAGAAGAGATCCTGTCTTGGCGATCTTTCTACAGGGATTAAATTTTTTACTATGGAAAACTAGCTATATATATCTAACATCAGAACTAGCCTTATATTCTACATCAGGACAAAGGGAAGAACAGTTTGGTTGAATGTTTGACAGATACCGTTAGGTTTTCTTCTTAAAAATAGCAGTGCGTTGATATCCTGTAAATATAGATATATCACAATGAACAACATATATATATTAAAGAAACATGTTTATTTCCACATATTGCAGTAATAGTTATCACAAGCAATCATTATCAGAGGTAACAAAATAAAAAATATATCTTTCTTTTTCTTATCTATTCCTTAAAGGAATCTGCCTTCCGCACGCGCAGTAAATACAGTTGAATGACATGCATGTGAAGAAAGCAGAACAGTGTGCTTTTTGTTCCAAGTAAAGGTCTATTTTGATGAATGTGATGTCTTATAAATGGTGTTTTGAAGACTTGATTAGGATATAAAATAATGATAAAATAGAAAGCTAGTGAAAGCCAGTGATGTTCTATGAAAAAATCAATCTAAAGGATTTGGCTTATTTTTCATTTTTAATTAATTCTATATAACATTCCAGAGCCTATTTAGAAAACAAGTAATTCTCAACTGATAGGTTGCATTTTTTGTATGGAAATAATTTCGATTTTTTTTCTTATGATGATCTGGAATTAATTAGAGCAAATAATAAATTTCAAATGTTATCTAAATAGTATGGATATGTATAAATAGTCAGAAAACCATCTTAGTACACAAGCTATACAAAATCTTATCGGGTTACATAAACACTTCTTGAGTTAGAGTGATAAAATGTGATAAAAAGATGACAAACATACATGACATATGAATTAGAATCAATGATGTTGATCAAAAATGACAAGAACATGAAGCAATATCATCGCAGGTAGATAAACTTTCGAAATGTAAATAAAACATCTAAACAAAAAAAATATAAATAAAGAAAAACGCCAAAAGGCCAATAAATACTGACTTATATTCAACCAAAAGTACAACGAGCAACAAAAATTAAACAAAAGCAAAAATTAAACAGACAAAAAAAATCAAAAACATGAATAAATAATTAATATAAAATATTTACAAAAAATGACTAGATTGTACAGTAAAAGACTCTTCAGTGACAAAATATTTAGCTACACGCAACCTTGAGTTCATGGTTTTGTTTATTTTTAAAGACACTAACCTAGAGCCAGTAATATTCGACTTATTTCAGATTTTACCTGGGCATTAATGTACACAACTGATCTGAATATCAATTCTTGTGTAACAACAGTCTGAAATGTCACTAAAAATATAATGGTCAGACCAAAACATCAGAGTAAACCCATCAGCACAGTTATTTGTAAATAAACCTCAGACAATTCAACATCAACATGCCTGATCTATTGTCAATATCACCAGTTTTTGAAAATTGATTTCTCTTTTGTTAATCATAGCGTAGATATAAATACTTTGAATAAAAGCAGGTTTATATAAAAAAAAAACTGTAATAAATTGATAAATAAGATTTTGATAAAGACCTGCACGAACACCAACAGGCTGGAATTCACAACACATAAGAAAATAAGATAATTTCCAATGAAGTCATAATAAATAATATAATAAAACTTCCCAAAAGTCTTAACCAACGTTAAACTCTTACTTTGTTATCAAGGAAGATGTGTTGGGATCAAACCCTTTAATATTGAATGAATTGGGACATGCTAAGGATGCAAGACCAGAAAGGGAGAAGGTTACTGACAAGAAATGGATAAAATACACTTATCAGAAGTTTATGAAAAACTTTTGGCTTCATCAGATTACCCCAAGATAGTTTAACTACACATAAAAATTGTTATGTTTATCAATATCACAACTCCTAGAAAAGTCTGAACGTTCCATTTTAAATGACAATACTGCCCTTGTTTTTTCAACGCCTTCCTAAATATCAGATGCTGAACATACATGTATAAAATGATTGTAAAAAGCCGATACAAAATGCAAACCGTTCCTATCACAATGAAAAAAAAAAGATCGCTTGTCAGCAATCAAACAATAAAATTCACATTGATACAACATATACACTGTATAAAAACATTCACCTAAGGAATCGTGCTTAGACAATTCAACGGGTTCAAAAACACCTTTCTAGAAGGTACAGTACATTCACAACCAATTATCCCTGTTATGGTTTCTGTTTCAGAACACCATAATCTTTGTGGGATTTTCTAAGCTTTAATTGCACCTCTTGCAAAATTCCTTCAAAATTTTAAAAATATCATTCATGTATTTAATTATCAGTTCAAGTGTAGAACAGCATTATAAAAGTAACCTTGAATTTCAAGTAGCGGTAGTTGTTCACTGTGAAGCATAGGATATTATACACTTGTGAATAGGGAGTTTAGCATCAACTGAATGTAAACTTTATCAACTGAGCGTATGTGTTATCCAACATAGCTTAACATCAATAAGTTCAGAAAACGTGAAAATCTGAAAATCTGACAATAATAATATAATAAATGTGTCATTACAACATATCAATGCAAAAGCCAGTCAACGCCATCATAATTTGAACACTTAAACTGATGTTAAAACATCATTGAAAGAGAGTAAAACTTTCAAAAATGTGTCTCTGCTTTAAAAGCAAACTATATTAGATACAGTCTATATAATAAAGCACTGTAATTGTTAACAATGTACTAACTCTGTTAAATAGTAATTGGAACATTCTTTTAAATAAAAGTTACATTTCTGCAACTGTCTTTTCTACACTAAATACCTTCTCCAACGTCTTTAACATTAACATGTTACCTTTTCAGAGGGAAAAAGGTACATCAAAGCATGCACAGGTTATTATATCATTCAGTTCAATACAGATACTACCCATTGTTGAGAATTCCTCTTTCTCAAATGAAGACTTATTGACAAAGAAACAGATTACAAATTAAGAAACCAAATAATGTTCCTATAGAATGTTTCAATTGTCTTTCGACAAAAAGTCTATTTCATCTTGTGGTCTTATCTCAAGCACGCAATATCCGAAAGTTGTCTTCTAATTTTCCTTCAAAATCTTTGCAATTGATAGCATGCTACATTTTCTGTAACTGATAAATCAGTGGATGTTGGATGGCAAAGCAAATGGAATCTTGTAAAAAATTCTACAGTTACAAATTTGACAAATATATGACCCAAGAAATGGTACTTCAGGCCAGAACCATAAGGTGGTTGGTACAGTAACAAACCTAGATGCATGAATTCACTGTTTAAACAGATATCTTCTGACTTTTAATAAGCTTACTCTTACCCTGTTTAAATAAATACAAGTGATCAACATACTAGGACATGTTTGAGGTGCAGTGTTGGTACATCTCGGTTGTTGGTGTACATCAACGTCATGCAGATCGTGTTATTCGGTGTGTATCTCTTGGGGATATTGCTGTTGATCTCTGTAATACCAACATCTACTAACCATGTTAGGGAACACGACAGTATGATAAATGAAGGGACAGTGTTCGTCATACAACTGTGCCTTTCAATCCCTCGACCGGACAATCTGGATGTTGATCAGGTATGTTTACTACACTATCGTCAACACTATCCAGGTGAAAAATGGGATGTCCATTACCAGTAGGGCTACTACAACCACTGACATCAAGCGGTGGCTGTGTAGAATTGTCATCGTTATCTTCATCTTCAGAATCATCATCCATGTAGATAATTGGGATCTGTTAAAAGAGACAACATCATATTATCAACAGCATCACTGTAGATTTTCACCCTTCAAATGTATTTGAAATTGCATTACTTTTCTGACAAATCATACCAAAAAATTAATGGTCTTTTCTGACACAATGACCTGATTCCTTCACAATTTGAACTTGTCATTGATGGCAAGGGAAACATGTAGTTAAAGATTTTTTCTTGATATACATATCACAAGTACCTAAATTACAACCATAATTTATCATTTATATCTCACTCTCTTTATTCTCGGTATATCACTACTCCACCATTCATTCTCAATCATAAGGTGTATAAAGGTGGAATAAGCATACCCTACTACTGGAGTCCTTCATTATCCCCCCTTTCACTCTCCTTGATGTTGAAGCTGGTGTTGATGTTTCATCCTGATTTGGCTTTGCAGAGTTTGAACTGCGAGTGTCCATGTCGGAGTTGTCTGCACCTGTTGGCTCACCCCGTTTCCCCATTGAGTTGTACTGATGTAACTTCCTCTCGTCAATGAGGGGAGAAGCTTGTGGTGACAGGGAGCTTGGCCGAATAACATAGCTGATGGTGAAGATAGAAAATATTTTATCAACACAGTGCAACAAAACAATTTCTTTTATTTTAGCATTTTGCAACTGAAGAAATTTTAGCCATAAACTATGCATTTCATATTTATGTTTAGAATGCATACTCATTATATCTAGAAGCACCTTGAAAAATCTATTGAATGATGTATGCTCTCGTTATTTCAATGATGATATTTCTTCATGAAATCACAGAAGAGTCTCAGAAGAACTATTATAAAATATTTTTTTATCAAGTTTGTTATATATCGTGTAAAATGAAAACTGTCCATTTTTGTCTACAAACGAAGGCAGCATTTCTACATTATCAGAATAATTTTGATACTAGTCACCTATTCATCAAATAATACTCACATTATGTCATCCAGTTCAAGACGCAGATCATAGCTAGGGTTGACGATCACATAGGAAATGTTGTTACGCTTCTCGTTACCGCAATCTGTTTCAGAAAAAATGTAGTAAGCTGTTGTATCTTTAATGTGTAGTTAATTTATATATCGTAAAGCATCATTCACTCAACACTCATAGTAAGTATATAATGCCTTGGGTGGAATTGTTAGTGTGATGACAGGGTCAAGTTGATAGAATTTGTCAAAAATGAAACTAAATGGTACAAAAGTATGTGTGATATTCAAATAAAAATCATATCAACCTCTAACATGAGAAGTCCGTTACAAGGCAAATACTAATAAGCTATAAATATTTTTTCTAAATATTGTAATGACATACAATGTGTATAGAACCTGTAGATCATCATATTACTTCCATGTTTTCATACAAACAAATACATTGTAAAAGACTATCGCTTTGATCATGAAAAAACAAACCCTTTCCAAAAAAGTCATTAACAAGAACATCTTTATTTTCTCTGAGACACTACGCATACAAATGAAATACTTCTATTAGGTAATGCCTAAAACACAGAGGACAGGATCAATTTGTAAGTCTGTGCTTTGGAAAGAACACAAAGAATCCATGCAGGACAGAAGCTGTATCAATATCAGCAGAAACAACAACAAATCAAGATTGATGTATCAGATTTATAAACTGTACATATCTCGTTATATTTCCTGCACAATTTGTTTTTTGAAAGTTGTCTGCTCATGGAGGTTTATATACATGTATTTAGAGTAGGTATTGTGTGTGTTAAATGTAGATCTGATGTTGGCATGGCTGGCTGTTAATACATATACAGGGAGTGTCATGATAAAGTAGCATTATGATATAACTATGGCAGCCCGGCGGTACAGATTAATGACTGCCGTTGGAGTGAGTACAAAGAGTTCAGAAATTAATGACTGCTGGTTTGTCGGAGATGAAACTAGAATCAATTTTGATGCATTTCTTTTTGAAAACGTCCAAATATTGAAAACATCTTTCATTTCTTTGATATCTTCTTTACATAGATTTAATGATTTCTTCAGCATAAAATCGTTTAGACAAGCTACAATGAATAATTTGCCTGATGCCAACATGGTTATATACATATATGTTCCTCTACCTAGTAAACAATATGAACAGGTAATTTCACATTCAAAGTTGATTATTCAGATTAAATGCATGCTATCTTTGAAATATTCTCTACAGAAGATAAGTATGTGTATCTTTCTTCAACAATATATTAAAAATTAATTCGCAAGATCATTATCAACAGATTTTTTTCTGTATTTCTTGACAAATAAGAAAAGCGAGGTGCAAGACAATTTTCCAAAAGAAGAAATGTGTCTATATTATACATTTACAATATCGAAAGTGATGCACAGGTGACCAAAAAAACATAGATCAGTTTTCATTATACTTAAGTATATTTGTGCTATATAAAGTGTAAATGCCCCTACCCCTTTTTCTCCTGTACCGCGTCCTACTATCTGAAAAATTGAAAGCAACAAATGCATACATAAATGACAAAAAACATACATCACGACAAAAAGGAAGCATTTATAAAAAGTATATTTGTTACAGGGTTGTCTCAAATAGATAGATATATTAAATTTGACTGGATTAACTGTCTTGTGCTAGCTTAAACAAGAAGATATCACATTGAAAGACTTTGAAGTAGATGGACTGACTGAGAGTATGGCAACCATGAATGATATACATTCTGTATCACGTCTCTAAAAGTGAATTTTCTTTCTTCCTTTTTATTAATTTATTTTTTGCTTAGACTAGGCTACCGAGATGATATCTAGGCTGTTTAAGACAATTTCTGTGCTATTAAATAAGATCTTAGAATTTACTGGCAATTGCCTAAGTAATAAATGTGATAACATATAAATGCCATGAGGTATATTCATCTGAGAGATTTGTGGCTAACTGAAGCAAGCATTACAGGACTGGGTGAACATAAATAATGATATGAATAAAAATGAGTGGCAAAAAGAAACAACAAGAGGCCCATGGGCCTGTACAGTCACCTTAGGTCTTCAGGTCTATGGACAGTTTTAGAACCTGTCCATCAGTCCCAGCATAGGGGCAGACAGAACAGAACTGATATTTACAAAGTCCTTATTGTTTCTAAGTTTGAAAGTTTAATTTTCAATTAAAAAGTGGGTCAAGGTCATTCATTCTTACAAACTAAGTAGCATTTCATTCCAAGTTGCTACAGGCTCAATATCAGCATCCTGTGCCTTTTGTTTATTGAACAGAAGTCATTTAAATACATTTGACACGTTAACAATGAACAAACTTGGTAGTCCTTTATCCCAGCATGCTATAGGGCCAATACTAGCACTCTGGGCCTTTTGATTATTAAGAAGAAGTAAAAAATGTCATTGTTTACCCTGGCAATGCCGAAGTTTTGCCAAATCAACAGCCTTATTAAAACGGAAAGTGAAAGTCATGTAGAGTTATGGTGAATAGGAAAGATACAGATCATCAATTCTAGGGTGAGACAAAAATGCTAAGTTTACTAAACAGAAAAGTGACAGTTACATGTGGAGCTAGTGTCATACGAAAAGTGATTAAGTGTAAGTATATCTTTAGTTCTAGGATGAGAGAAAAGTTAGATCTAGGGCAACAGAGAAGGTAACGATTTCCAGTTCTAGACTGAGAGAAAAGAGACAGATCTTTTAAGGTACTAGGGATAGTGAAAGAAACAAATCATCAGATTTAGGATATGTAGATATATATAATGTTGAGGAAAGTGATTTATATAAGTAAAATACAAGAAAGGACAAAGCATATTCATCATATTGTTTAAGAGAATAGGGTTTGTATGATCAGAAGACACATTGGTCATGTTTTGTTTATTTTATGTAAGCAAAATTATGAGAAAGGTGATAATACATGGTATTTAACTGTATACAAAGTTTGTACCATAATCTGACATTGGCAGACCAAGACTCTGCATTCGAGACTTGACCATCTGACTAATCTCGTGCCGCTCTGGTGTCATGTGAGCATCGCTGTCATCATGTTCCAGTCCCATCATGCTGAGTGATACCTGATGATAAAAAAAATCAGTAAATACAACAACAAAGGTTCGTATTCATTGTGTTGGTGCTGATATAGAGAACAATATCTAGCACTGAAAACTATGGTTTCAACACAAGTATGGCATGTATCATCCATGAATATATTTTATTTTTTCTTTAAATTCTGATAAATTGATAAAAACAAATTTCTATATATCAATATTTTCTTTATATCATTTTTCAGGTATTTCTTTATTTTCAGTCAGCCTGAAAAAATACATGGGAAACAAGTTTAATTGGATTTTTTTGGCTTTCAATATCACAGGTATATATGAACACAAGTACCAACATGTGTCTGCAATGTCTTTGAAAACAGAGTTATAAAAAGTATTGCAATTTAAATGTGTCCATTGCCTCTCACTACACTGATATATGTAAACTTATCATTATGAGACAGTGTGTAACAAAAATTAACAAAAACATTTAGTGACCAATATTTGGATTTTTTTTACATAGTGCTAAAGTGTCACTGACTTTTAAATAATTGCACTTTTGTAGGGGTCTGAAAAAAAACTCAAAATCAGTAAATGTAGAATAACCATATCACCGGCTATTTTCCATGGTAGCGATGTTTTTGTTATTTCGCAGTACACTAACATGATCACGAAAATTTAATCTGTGAAATAATGATACATGTGTATTAAATGTTCTTTTAAATTCTGTTTGAAAATTGAATTTTTTTTTGTTTTAAATGCAAATTGCAAAACTTCCTACCCCTGAAAATAACCAGTTATATGAAATTTAGTCAGTTTGAAACAGTAAAGGATTAATTATTAACTTACCATATGATACATGACGATCTTAAAAACAATCACTCATTTTAAAATTCCCTAACAAAATAAACTGTTGCCAGATATTGATCCTGCTAATAATATATGTTATAATTATGTCATTGTTAAATGTGATATGTAAAACATAGGTTCAGGCACAACTACATGTACATACAATGTATGTACACTGCTACTTATCACTCATTCACGTTGTGATTGTTCTTGTATCACCAGACACTAAAACAAACGTCTAAAATACAAAAGGAGTCCTTTCTATTTACACAAACGAAACTAACCACCAAACAAAGAATAAAGATTCCATATAAAAAAGAGTTCCATGGGCCTTAACAGTCACCTAAGGTCTTCATGTCTTTGGACAGTTGAAGAACCTGTTCAGACAGAACAGAACAGATATATGCATACTTACATACTTGTTTTTAAGTTTGGAGGCTTAATTTCCAATTAAATGTAACAGATAACACTGTCTGTTGTTGTGGTTTAGCATATTTGACCCCTATGACATTGATGAAGGTCAAGGTCATTCATTTGAACAATATGATAGCCCTTCATCCCAGCATGCTACTGGCCCAATATCATGACCTTGTACCATTTGAGAAGAAGTCGTTAAAAGATTATAAGACATTTCACGAAGGTGACCTTGAAAACAGGTCAAGGTAATTCATTTCAACAAACTTGATGGCCCTTAATCCCAGCACGCTGCTGGCCCTATACCATGACCCTGGGGGTTTTGGTAATTGAGAAGAAGTCAAAGATATAAATTGTTTATGACAGACGATGCCAGACAAAAGACGATTGCAAAAGGTCACTTGAAACTTCATTTCAGGTGACCTAAAAACAGGTAAATATTAACTGATAAATCATGCATTTTCTTTGGCTAAAAATTTTGTTGTTTTTTTGAAAATATGCAATTTTATTTGTCATTCGTAGACAAATGTTGCTCACAAATCTATTATTTATGTCAGTGTTTACCAGTTTCTCTCTTCGTGGATATATTAACTCATAGGTTTAGAGTAGTCACAAATGAAACAAAATAACCCACGAAAATTCATGATTTTACAGTACAAAAGTCTTAATGGTAATGCAGCTTTTCTTGAGATTGGAAAATGTGTATTACAGAAATAAATTCAGATGTAATTGCAGTTTGGTGTCTATAAATTTAGTTTCTACTGTAACCATTTATAGGAATTATACACTAAAATTGCAAAATAAATATCTGATCTGAATTTTATGCATCAAAAATTCCATTTTAAAAAATGTTCATGAGGTCCAAAACAAGCATTACATCTTCTGTTGTCATTGCTGAAAATTTTCACACAATCATATTGTTAAATTATATCTATCTCATTCATCAGGCAAATTTTTGTTAAAGTGTGTAATCATTTTACAATATCAAAAAAATCTGCTGTTAGTAAGAGATTCAAAAACATGTTATCCATGATCCACATATGACATTCCAAAGGGAGAACAGGTAAAATCTAAAGATAAAACACATCCTGGCAGTTATTATGAAATTTTGAGTAGTAAAAGTAATTAACTGTGTATTTAGACTTACAACATGCTGGAATGGTCTTGGTAGAAAAGATGAGAATGATGACCTGAATGATAGAGGTAACCTATCAATAATTCCTTACAACATAAACAAAGGATTGATCCAATATACCCTTAAGATATTGTACAAAGATGGTATGTGACCTTGTGGTAGGGACGTATACTGGGTAGTTTGGGTGGGAGAAGGATGATAATGAACCCGTTACATTCTCATTCACAGTCAAATCTGGTCTAACTAAACATCCTGATTAACCAGTCACTCATTTCTTCAACCTTCTATTTTAATTGATTTCAAAGAAGTCATATGGATGGAACAAACTGTTATATTTTCAATTCAACACCTTTAATTAGAAATTGATTTTCACCTGTGGATAAAAAGGGTTATTTTCAATAATGATGTAATTTTTTAATTAACTAAGTTTGTTTTCAATGTAATTGTTTTTGTTGTGCTGAAAATAGTAAATAATTATACCTGTAAGAATTCTAATATTAACAATTACTTTTAGCTGGGGATATGTGATGTAAACAGGAAGAGCTAATTAGTAATTCCTGAACTTTTTCCTCTGTGACAACATTTGAGAAAGTTATAATAGCCTGCATATCACATGTTATCATTTAATAATTCATAAAAAGGACTCAGCAGTACTGCATTTATCATAGTACTGTAGTTCAGCATGACGAGGGTTGATTAAGTGAAACAAATAAAATATAAAGTAGAAATAATGTCAATTATATCAATTTCAATAGATACTGAGATTAGTCAACCAGAGACATTACACCAGCCCGACAGTAATTGCCATTAGGAAAGGACATAGGTTCAAATTCTTTGTCAATTTAGTTCATAGCAAACTCAGACACCCTGGAAAGGTCAACTTTCTAAATCTATCTCCAAGCATATCATGTAGGCATAGTTGGTATTTATTAAAGACTAATTCTTGTGAGCAAAAGTTTTAAAATATGTGATAAGGGGTAAAACAACTCCCTACAGCATGTGTTAGAAATCCTTATGTCTTCTGACAAAAAATTGAAAGAAATGATAGAAGAATAAAAGTCACAGAATTCTTAGAATAAACATGCAGTAGACTCGGGTTATATGTTCTCTAAAAGGGAAAAAGCCAAGATGCAAGGAAAGTAATGGCAAACTCTATATGTATAAGCTACATGTGAGAAGTGAAAACTCTAAACTGTCTCAAAGTGCTGGCCTACATTTTCAGGTTTCTTATTGGTGGTAGTGGAGGAGGAAGTTGAGGACTGTCGTGGCTTCCGGCGAATCTGTATTAAGAAAATACGTCAAAATTCATATCAAATTTCGAAATTTTCATCTCAGATACTGGTTGTTATAAATAAAATCTTAAATTGTAAAAAGTCCAAGTAACAATTACAAAAATATCTTACTACAACCAGAAGAAGTTCTAGTAAAATCAACACTTAAATTGATTGCAGGATACCAATTAGTGCAAAAGAGCAGTCGCCTATCAAAAACAATCTGCTTAATAATTTCAAAAGAGAAAAAAAAAGAGTAGCAGCATTTGGTCATGGTGATTTAACAAGGACTGAAAGCAATAGTAAAATCTGGGCAAAGTAAGCCAATACGTTTTAACTAGAAAAGCAGCTACTCTGTCTACAGGAAGTTTACAGGGAGATATTGAGTTGCTTCTACAATAAAGTAGCTAAACTAAAGAAAGAGACAGATCCAATTCTACTGAGAAATAACTGAGAATAAAAGAAAGCGCTCTCTTCAAGAAAATTTCTAATAAATAACTATTGGTATAGACATTGGAAAAGAAAGACAGCTCGGAAACTAATTACTACACTGAGAGAAAACTCTGCATTATGGGATATTTCTGCTGAGAATATATATTGGTTAAATAGACCCAAATCTACCAACAAATTACTACTCTGATCAAAGGAACTCTGATAACAGACAGGTTTTAGAGATTTTTTCAAGAAATCACCCTATCCTCTTGGAGAGGTGTTGTGTCATTTCTACCAAAAAAACTACACTCGGCTGAACGTAAAGTACATGTAATTATATCTCTAAGTACTGGAAAATCTAAAACAGGAGAGAAGAGTTTGCCTCAGAAATACTTCTACAAAGAACTTAATATATGCAAAAAATAGAGAATAATTTTTAGTAATTTCTGTTGAAAGATGGATGAGAATAGAGGCTGACCTTTGTTGAGATTAAGAGAGAGGCTTTACTGGCTGAAAATGTTCGCAGTCATTTTGTTGGTCAAATTTGTAGTCTTAACTCTGACATAACAAATGCATGTCAGTTTCTTCACAGAAATAATAGTATTTGTATCGTGTCATTCACAAGTGACAGTCTGTGCCTTACAGATTGGTTTGTATGTATAATCATATCAAAATAAAACTGTATGTGTTTGTAGCTATCATAATGTTTAATGTGTGATTAATTTCCTACAATACATATGAGTATCAGAAGATGACCATGATGAAAGGGTACAGCACTGTATCATCTCCTTAGCCAAACAATGGCACCCAGCTGAAGTTTTCCTGTTGAATATATGCTATGACATAAGGACAACAATATGACACTTATATACAGATAAACACTGGAGATATGTATCACTGATCTGTGTGGTATTCACCATACGGTGGGACTATTTCAGAGAGAAAACAGATTTAAAAATGACTCATCATCAAAATCACTTGTTGATATAGTCAGAAGGTAACGATAGCAGGTACATATACCATACTTATTTGGCAATAAGTCCATCCCTGGTGATAAGCCGACCCATTACTATTGCTGTTAAGTAAAATACCATGCAATACTGTTTCATTGTATTGTAATCAGCACATCCTTTGATTAGAAGTAAGAAATAATGTGTGCCACCACAGACTTATTACAAGATAAGTACAATAATGACATATAATATGAAGCCAGTGATTCTGTTGGCCGCCTGGTCTGTATATTGTTCACAACAGAATTATCATTAAATGACACTAAGCTTTGATAACAACAACAAAAAAATACAAAAGATTGTGCAGTGTATAGAAAACTCACATTTAGATTAATATTTGTTGGATATATATTAATTTAAAAAAAAACATTCGTTTCTTTCAAAATAATTTCCTAAAATATTTGAAATGAAAAAGAAATTCCAATCCATTAAAACAAAATGGCTTTGAAATTAGATTAGATTTTATAAAAATATTTTTGCAAACATTAGAATCCACAGGCATTATTGCTACCATTAATGAATGATTAAATATCAGAATGTTCTTTGATATGTTAGACATTTGACTCTCATGTATATCACATTATTACTCTAGACCTTAACGAGATAATCATAAGTATGTATCATGTCTTACATGGGTTGATCTGATCAATTCTACAATCAATCTACCAACTACCTTTGTACTATCAATACATATATACCATAGAAATTACCTCATAAAAGTTCTGATATAATTTTTGCACATAAGTTGGTAATTTGAAAATTGAATACATGAAATGTTCATTTCTTTTTTCACATGTAATTGTATTTGAAGTGTGCAGAAAAGCTTTGAAAAGTGTAACAACATAAAACATAAATACAGATGAAAGCAATTTTTCTGAAAAAGGGTAAAGAAGGAGAGCAATATTAAAGAAAAAATAAAGAAAAAGCGCTGGTACTTACAACTGAATTTCTAAAGGCTAAGTTGAGGGCGGACTGATCGCGTACTACCATGGACGCATTCTATATCAACAAATAGACAGCAAAACCTCAGCACAGCAGTTGGTTTGGTAGCTCAACAGTTCTTTTAATTGGCACAAAGCTTCATTGTTCTGAAAGCTACTTCACAGTTTAGTTTTAATTGTTAATTTGAAACATTTTCTTTGGTCTGGTAAAGTCAAAAGCACAAAATTTCTCAGAACCAGGAACAGATTTGAGCGTGACGTTTTGATGAGTCAACTTCATCAGATAAAAGACCAATGTGAAATGTACAAGCACTGAAATATGTAGTGTACGAGATGATAAAGAATCATCCATCAAAAACTGATTCTTTACCATCACAGTGCTATTCAGCTTCACATTACAACACTAATTATCTCCCCTTAACATTATGTTGTTTGATTAGCACACCTAAAATGTTGAGATTTATTTTACAAACCAACTGCTATATCAAACATAATGATAATTCAAATAAGTAAAAGATACAAATACATATAAGTATATAATGGGAACAATCAGTATAGGTCGTTATGTATGTAGATATGTAGGATATCTATAGTACATGTATATAAAATGGCACTCTACAACAGTTAACAGTATATATAATGTACCACAATTACGTTGAATATCAACAATCAAACATCGTATGGGCATTTGTTTCTATTTCAATAATTATTTACAAATTAACATACAGTCTTACTGACTACCATAGACCGCTGAACGAATTTTTTCGCTGCTTAAAACATCAGTACTTTTTTTTATACTAGAGGTGTAAAATCAATGCTGTATTTCTCATGTAAATATCATAGGTTCTGTAATACCTTGCTTGGATACCCCAAGGTATGCAGGGCGATTGAAGAATAGTAGACACTAAGAAGAGGGTGTGGTCTATCGCAACAAATTTAGGATCTTCAGTGTGATAACTTTACTAATAAAGCTGCTGGTTTCACCCGAACATCTGGGCTTTTTCAGGACCTGTCCTGACTGTCCAGAAGAAGCCGATAGACGTAATAATAAAGTCATTACAGTGAAGATCCTAAATTTGTTGTGACTGACCACACCTCCTTTCTTTTATCTTATTGACAATAATTCATTTATATTATATATTGAAAACATTACAAACTCACTAAGAATTGCTTTATGAAATAAGTGAAAAAGATTTGTAAATCTACCTAGTATAAAAAATTTATACATATATTTAATATAAATATAAAGAGAAATAGGTAAAATAAAAAAAAATCTAAAGGAATTAATTTGATCAGTTGCAATCCTACTTATAGGTTGGACTTACAGGTGAAGTGGCGTCCCCTGTGTGCTCATGGTGAACCTGAGTACGGTAGATCCCTATAGGAATCTCACATGTGGTGGAGCAGAATTTCTGATACAATCGACCGTAAGTCCTGATCCAAAGATCCTCTTTTTTGATTTTCATCTGTGAAAACGAAAATCAGAAAGGTGCTGAATAATCAGTCTAGATTTTTACATTAATTTCAGAGTTAAGAAAGAAATCTTATATAATGTCCAATGCAAGGCAACAGGAATACCTTTGGTCTTTATTGAGTTATCTTAGCCTATCACATGCATGTCATATTTGATTTGCAAGGTATGTGTAAAGCATTCATTCAATTTTTTACTTTTGTAAACAAAACTTTTACCACTCTCCAAAACGTTATGAACAGCTTTGGGAAGACTTATTTTGATGAAGTTATTGATTATATGTACAAAAATTGTGATAAAAGGTACAAGTGATATTTTTTTTCTTTATACAGTATAAATACTTGAATTTGTGTCATTGAGCTTAAAGTTATTTATATACAATGCCTTGACAGTACACTAACAGTATATTGTTGTTATGGTAAGTTTTTTTGACTTATTGTATTTTAGATGATTAGACTAGATTTAAGTTGTAAATAACAAATTCTTTTTCAACCACTTCCATTAAAGGAAACAGCTTAGATACCTGACAGGCAAGGCATAATCAAATATCACTAAAGGGAAGTAACTCACACATGACAGATGTCCAGAGCCAACAGCTTGGTCAATTCCCAGTAGAAGTCTCACAAATGTTATCAGATATTCCTTCACAAATGCCTGAAATCCATATATGACATATATATCTCACATTTCAACGCAGAGGTTGTATACATCTTTCATGAAATCCAAAATGTCTATAGCCAGTGCTTCCTCAGTTAACTCATATTGCAATGAAAAGAAGAATGGTTTTGTTTTTTATGGCAACCATGCACTGCTGACGACATCAAGCAGCACCAACTGGCAGCATTATTTTCATAGTTCACAGGAAATTAAAACAATGTTGAAGAAAGAGTAGTCTTCCCTTATATTTTCTACTCTGCAGAGCATTTCTTGTTGTGATGCATTAAAAAACAAGATAAATTGAATCCCAATAGACTATGGCACTGACCTTTCCTAGGAATATGTATGTAAAGACAATGAAATTATTTCAGAAGGAAAAGCCAGATCACATGATCTACCTGAGCGAGCCAATAACAGCAGACATGTCAAATACTGTGTGTATCTTTAAATGTATGTGACCTTCAATGACAAAAGCTGACTTTCAGTTATTAGAAAGTGACCTTCAAGCATCACAAGGTGAACGTCAACACTCACAAGTGATTTTCTATGACCATATGGTGACCTTCAGTGATCACAAGATGACCTCAACTGACCAGTATACCTACCTGGTATAGTAAAGTATCTAACATACTGGCACTGAACACATTTCCAGCAGCAAATGGAAGTCGGAACATATAAGAGAGATGAGAACCACGACTTCTCTCTTTCTGCAAAGTAGAGTCACATTTCAACACTTAGTCATTTTACTACAGTATGAATATTGTAAATATCATTTCAGCCGCAATTAATAAAATATAACTGGTATGTGATATTTATACTGACAGAACTACCAAATATTGTTTTGCTATTTTTCCTTACATGATCTTGATGTTTTATAATACTTCAACATTAATTGTCATGACAAAACCATCAACTAAAACATGTTCTTATGTATACTCCTAAGTATGTAAGTGACCTTTAGATGACCTGGCACACTAAAAAACAGATTCGTTCAGGGTATTGTGGTACTTGACTAATAAATGATGTTTGATCAAAGTTAGTTGAGAAATGAAGTTGCTAGAGTGATGACTAAAAGTGAAAATAAGCATGCACATATGAATGAAATGCTATATCACCTCCATGATTGCTACATTGGGATAATGAGAACTTCACTCTCTTAAACATAAAACTGAATGGAGACATACAAACCTTTTCCATTTTTGACAAGGTGTAGGAGTATGTGTCATTGGCTCTAAATTGCATAAATCTCATGTTCGATGACTGGGATAACTCCGTTATAATATTGGCACTTGGAAATAGTCTGGAAAATGTTACAAAGAAACACATGTAAGATAGCATGAGATGGATAACCATGTTTAAGTAAATCAAGGACAGCTCTCTACACCCTTTTTTAAATATAAAACTACTCAGATGTTCTTTTCTCATCTGAAAAACAAATGTTTAAACAGTGTAACACATTCATCTTAATATGGTGTGGACCCCCACTATAGTGTAACAAATTCACTTTAATATGGTGTGGACCCCCATTATAGTGTAACAAATTCACCTTAATATGGTGTAGACCCCCACTATAGTGTAACAAATTCACCTTAATATGGTGTAGACCCCCACTATAGTGTAACAAATTCACTTTAATATGGTGTGGACCCCCACTATAGTGTAACAAATTCACTTTAACATGGTGTGGACCCCCACTATAGTGTAACAAATTCACTTTAATATGGTGTGGATTCCCACTATAGTGTAACAAATTCACCTTAATATGGTGTGGACCCCCACTATAGTGTAACAAATTCACCTTAATATGGTGTAGACCCCCACTATAGTGTAACAAATTCACCTTAATATGGTGTGGATTCCCACTATAGTGTAACAAATTCACTTTAATATGGTGTGGACCCCCACTATAGTGTAACAAATTCACCTTAATATGGTGTAGACCCCCACTATAGTGTAACAAATTCACCTTAATATGGTGTGGATTCCCATTATAGTGTAAAAAATTCATCTTAATATGGTGTGGACCCCCATTATAGTGTAACAAATTCACTTTATTATGGTGTAGACCCCCACTATAGTGTAACAAACTCACCTAAATATGGTCTGGACCCCAACTATAGTGTTACAATCAGACAATGTATCCTCTTCAGCAGAGTTTGATGTTTCTTTGTTCACAATCACCACATTGTCAGCCATATTTATCCCAGCTTGTAGGAGATTGTCAATGCTGGAAAATCAGAGAAAAATATTGCATGTTACATGTGTTTCTTAGATTCATTACACAGTGAGTGATAGAGAGTTAGTGAACTCTAAAGATCTCTGAAATCCTGCTGTGTTACTTAGCTATATAAATACCAATTATCATTAGACAGTGGTAAAAGTGATTTGCCTGCCACCAAAAAAATGAGAGAAGGGACATAACTATTGTAATGTTGAATAAAATTTGCCAAAAATTGAACTTGGATGACATACTGAAATAAATGGTGTTATTTAATTCACCAAGTTGAAACCAAAAATACTGTCTGGACCTATTATCACCAGATGAAAGGACAAACAGACAAATAGACAGTAAGGACTAACAGAAACGCAAGTCGCTATGATGTCACTTATACTGTGTGTTATACAAACAAGCATAAGTTTTTTTATCTCTTTTCAAGATGTGAAACAAGGGAAAGTTTATTTGTCAGTCACCCTTATTTTTATATCGCAATGCAATACAGCATCTTCTGAAATCTTGCTTCCATAATGAAAAAAAGATAATTTAGTTACATGATTTCTCTCCATGTGAAATGTGAACTAATATACTTGGAATGTCATATTGTAAGATAACTAGGGTACTTTTAGTTGACTTACGAATCAATGGATCCTATCATCCAGAAGACAAGAGGGAAGTGACAAATCGTGTCAAGGAAGGCAGTGTCTGGTCTACAACAGAGTAATAAATGGCGTTATAGGTCATTCATCAATCACACATCAATTTGCATTGATAATGGAGCATTTGCGTCAAGGTCGTAGTTGCTAAGTTCATATGTGAATAAGACTTTTTGCAAGGCACGTTTACACATTTAAAATTTGCATGTGACAAATTTGTGATTATCAACTCTCACTTACATCATTAAACATCACAAAAGAATCTTTAACTTGTTGTGCTATAAAGAAATAAATATGAATTAATAACTTTTCCATGATGGAAACAACGTATTACAGTTAAAAGATACTTACATATTACCCAGCATTAACACAATAGGGTTCAGGCTAGATTTAGGTCGAGCATGAGAACGTAGTGGTACAACAAAGTTGTAGATACCATTACTGGCAAAATCTGCTGCCAGAATAATGGCTCTGTTAGTCCAGTTATACTCCTTTGTAGTCTTATAGCTACAGTGTTTACAGGCCTGCAACAAAGATAAACAATCAGCATTTACAGGCCTGTAACAAAGATAAACAATCAGCATTTACAGGTCTGTAACAAAGATAAACAATCAGCATTTACAGGCCTGTAACAAAGATAAACAATCAGCATTTACAGGTCTGTAACAAAGATAAACAATCAGCATTTACAGGTCTGTAACAGACAAACAATCAGCTTTTACAGGTCTGTAACAGACAAACAATCAGCATTTACAGGTCTGTAACAAAGATAAACAATCAGCATTTACAGGTCTGTAACAAAGATCAATGTGTACAGGCCTGTAACCAAGATAAACAATCAGCATTAACAGGTCTGTAACAAAGATAAACAATCAGCATTTACATGTCTGTAACAAAGATAAACAATCAGCATTTACATGTCTGTAACAAAGATAAACAATGTATCAGTGTTTACAGGTCTGTAACAAAGATAAACAATCAGCATTAACAGATCTGTAACCAAGATAAACAATCAGCATTAACAGGTCTGTAACAAAGATAAACAATCAGCATTTACCGTTCTGTAACCAAGATAAACAATCAGCATTAACAGGTCTGTAACAAAGATAAACAATCAGCATTTACATGTCTGTAACAAAGATAAACAATGTATCAGTGTTTACAGGCCTGTAACAAAGATAAACAATGTATCAGTGTTTACAGGCCTGTAACAAAGATAAACAATGTATCAGTGTTTACAGGCCTGTAACAAAGATAAACAGTCAGTATTTACAGGCCTGTAACAAAGATAAACATTCAGCGTTTACAGGCCTGTAACAAAGATAAACAATGTATCAGCGTTTACAGGCCTGTAACAAAGATAAACAGTCAGCATTTACAGGTCTGTAACAAAGATAAACAATCAGCATTTACAGGCTAATGTTACATATAGAATACAGAAATTTGTCTTTATTAGCAAATGCAACTTACGAAATTGTTTTCAGAAATCTATTATGAGTCAAATTGACTGGACACTGTCTGATGTCATTATAACCTGTGTAATGGTGGTCTGTTGTAAGATCATGTCACAGTTAGTGAATGATCAGTTAGTTGTTCACATGGTTTTTCATTCTGTCAAAAGTTAAAATTTAAATATAAATATCATTAAACAACAAGTTTTGATTTTCCCCTTGAAGTAGTATAATAGTAAAGGTTTAATGATAGAATAATTAAGGTTTATTGAACAAGATCAGGTTCCATTGGCTAATCTGACTGATCTTGGTAATAGTTTAACTTACATTGGCAAGCTGGAGACAACAAAGAGGGCGTTTCTCCTTCATCAAGTGACACAGAGTAGGACTAGTACCAACATAAGGCGTGATAGGAGGAAACCCTCGGATGTATCTGTCAATCAAAATAATTGTTTCATATGAAAATCATTGCATGTACCTGTCAATAAAATTCAACAAAAAATATTTCCATTGAAAACAAGAGGCCCCATGGATATACATATATATATATATATATAAACCAGTCGAATAGCATGTCTCTAGGCCTTTTTGTTCATGAGGAGAAGTTGTAAAAAGGTTTCATCAAATTTGTCCCCTGTCACCTTAAATATCAGTCAAGGTCATTTCTTTCTTGCGAACTTTGTCACACTTCATCCTAGCAACACACCTGCCAAATATCATGCCTCTAGGCCTTCAAGTTCATTAGAAGAAGCTGTTTACATATTTTGACAAATTTTGCCCCTGTAAACATTAATATAAGTCAAGGTAATTTATTTTCCGAAAATTTGTCAGGATTTATCCCAGGAACATCCCAGCCAATTCTCATGACTCTTGAGGCTTTAGCTCGAGAGAAAAAGTCGTTTAAATGATTTAACAAATTTGACCCTTGTGACCTTAAATATACGTCCAGGTCTTTTCTTTTTGCAAACTTTGTCAGGCTTCATCCTAAGAACATACAAGTCAAATATCAAAACATTTGGTTCATTGATAATTGAGAAGAAGTTGTTTAAAGAGAAAAGTTGACACCACATGACAGACAGATGGACGGATGGATGCCGCACCACAACATAAGCTCATTTGGCACTTCGAACCAGGTGCGCTAAGTATTTCATGTACCTCTCAATTAAATTAATTACTTTATACCAAATTCATTAGATGTACCTGTCAATCAAATTAAGTATTTTATAACAAAAAAATTATCAGATGTAACTGTTAAGGAAATCAATCTGTGTACTACAAGATACAAGATGAAACTATGAAGCTTTGCATACATATTAACAAATAAAATTGTGTCATCTGCAAAGATTATCAACATCTCTTTTTGACCGATTATAGCACAATGTGCTGGCCAAGACTTATCATAAGACATACTCAGAGTCTTGCTCATTTTCTGAGTCAAACACAATGTCATCCTCCTCCTCCTCGGATTCCACATCTGAGCTGAGTTGTATACGGATATCATTGGCTTCCAGCACTGCCGGAACTGGTGCAATACTGGGGCGCTTCTGTAAACTAGCAATGTTGAGGCCCTTTGGTAAGTCCAGTTGAAGCTTCTTACTATCCTTACGAGTGGGAGCAGGTGGACGGGTGATCTCGGACGGGTTTGGAATGTTGGCCCGTGTATGCTGGAGCTCTAAGGCTACTGTACCTGTTTAGTGACAAATAGTCTTCATATGAACAGTTCATCGCTTTTGTTTTTTTTTAAATATTGAAGAAAACACGGGACCTTTCAGATAATGACAATTAGCAAGCCATACACAAACATAGTAATACCTACCCACACTAGCTATCATGCTAGCCACTTTGGATGCCTCTTTAGCACCAGTAGGCAAGTTTTGTTGGTCCATCTTGCCTCCCTCCTCCTGGGACTGAGCCAAGTTGAATGTACGTGTGTTTTCTTCCTTTGTGATATTTAGGTAGAAACAGATGTCGGACTTTTTCATGATATGCCTGGGACCTGGGTTCAATTGTATATTAGAATCCTTCAGGTCAGATTGTTGTATGCCAACCAAACTCACACCAAACCTGTCAATTTGTTCAAAACATTCTATATGATTCATATTTCTTAAGATACATGATTGACAATTTCCCCTGAATTCAATACAGTTAATGTCTTCCTTTCTATTTCATTCGTCTCGTTTAGTAATTCCATTAGAATAAAATTCAGAGGATGTAAAATAGATAGCTTTACTTTGAAAACATACGAAAGAAAAAAATACAACAAAGCGTTCCTATTCTCAATTTACCAGATTTTATGGGATGTTCCAAGTTACCATATTTATCCGTAAATAAGCTCCTGCCCACAAATAAGCCCCCTTCTTCATTTGCGCAGAATATTGAAATTGTAAGGTAAATGTTGTTCACAAGTAAGCCTTCCCAAAACTTAAATATGAAACTTTTACATTAAATGAGGGGGCTTTTAGAGGATAACTATGGTTACTACAGCTAGTAGGATTCTTTACAAAATAAAATGTCTTCCAAGAAAGCTGTTAAAAAACCACCAGAGAATTTCATATATCAGTGACATGGCTGATGAATTGACAATTTACCTGACTTGTTTGAAGAAATCTTTATTACATTTTCCGTGTTTATTTGCAAAATTAATTTATATAAAAATATTGTTGTTTGGTTACTTCAATATGATTTTTGTTCACAGAAAATGTTGTGAATCTGGTACATGTATTATTGTATTAGAACACTGACCTGCGATGAGCATGGAAGGAAGCATATGTGAAACTTTTGCCCTCGTACTCCCCAAAGAATTTACTGTCTCGCAGTTTGATGTGGTAAATCTCATTGCCTGAACACCCACCATACAGTCTCTGCCACTCTTCTGATGATGTCTGCCCCTCACTGCAACCAAAAAAAACTGCACTACAGAACAAAGACTGTCATAGATAAGTTATGCACCTCAAATGGGACAAAATTTAAGTATAAAAATTAAGAAAGGACAATAACTCCGATATGAAAAAGAGATAGATGGTTTTTGTGTACTGCACTTTTCCTTGTTAAGATCAGACAGACAGATGTACAATGTATGGAATAGGAGAGTAACCAGTGACTAATGAGGGATGCATTTACTGGCCTCTGGATGTAATTAACAGAAGAGTGACTGATCACTCAAGAGGGACACACTTACTGGCCTCTGGAGGTATGTAACAGGAGAGTGACTTATGAGGGACACACTTACTGGCCTCTGGAGGTATGTAACAGGAGAGTGACTTATGAGGGACACACTTACTGGCCTCTGGAGGTATGTAACAGGAGATTGACTTATGAGGGACACACTTACTGGCCTCTGGAGGTATGTAACAGGAGTGTGACCAGAGTGGAAGTGGCTGGGCACAAACAGTTGTTGGCAAGTAAGGCATACTTAAATTCATCTTCACACACCACATGCTCTGGAGATAGAAATGAAAACACATGCATGACTATGATATGTTTCAACAAACATATTGATGATCATGATCTCACCCATCGCCTTTGTTTACAAATCAATACTCCAACAATTTCTGAAACAATAAACTTAACTGCAGTATGCCTCTGTTGAAAAAGAACAAAAAAATCTGCACAGAATGAAGTTTAAAAATGCATTTGGAAGATTATACAATATTATCTATATAAGGACTCTAAGGTAAGTGTAAAACTCACAAAGTAAAAATACAGTACACTGTAAGGGTTTAACCGTGACTGAACAACAAGACAAACTACTGACCTGCAAATTTGACATGGAATTTGTTTTCTGGCCGGAAGATCTGTACATACTGAGCACAGTCTGGTGCAAAATCTTTGATAGCCCAAGACCTGAGAATGGTGTGCTGGTCCTGAAACCAGAAAGAACGTGACATTATAGGCAATTAATATCTCGGCATACCACAGGAAGCATCTGACCTAATAAGAGGTAAAAAGAGACTGTAATGCTCACAAGGAATCTTAACATTTACAGCATATCTATCATGTTGCACCCAGTAATGTTTGGAAGGTTACACCATTTTGGAACCTAACTTTCAGTTCAAACATGGACATCTTTCATTGATATATAAATATCGTGTTCAATATCCTTGTACTTCAAGGTACTGTCCATGAACTGATCAATGTTTGGATATATTCATCATTTGTGGCCTTTGACAAACCATGAAAGTGAAATGTTGGGAGTACACACTTAAAAGATATACACTAACATTTTTACCCTTAAAAGGATGTATCAGGCCTAAACCATTTCAAGTGATATGGTTTTCCGAGTCAGATACACAATAATTTAAAAGTGATACAAGTTCACAGTATTTTTAGACAATGAACATGTATAGTACCTTTGTGACAGAATACTACACCTATAGCCCATTAATTAAGTTTGCTTTCCTCACCATTCCTTGGAGCAGTTGTTACATCATTTATCTTTGTTTAGTAAAGATAACACCTCATTTACCTTAGATACTTCTATGGCTATACAGTGACAATACTTACAGCTGCTGTTCTATCACTCTGGTTTCGGGCCGCAAGGATAAAGCATGCTAAAGCATCCTGCATCCTGAAACAGAGGGCAAATCTTGTTTATCTGCCTTAGGTTTTCAGGAAACAGTAATAAAAATTTGACCTCTTTTTATGCAGAGATTTTCAACCTTGTCATCATCAATATATACCAGAAACCTTTATCCTATTAATTTATAGGACAATTTATTCTTTGTTTCTTCTGGTCATTTCAGTGAGGAATTGGGATGTCTTGAAAAATGACCAATATCAAATTGGATTAACTCCCTTCTTTATAATCAAAAGGTCAATAGTTCATCACTAATGGAGATGTTCATATAAAATTCAAAGTGCCAAACAAAGTTAAAACATTTCCTATTTCAGATCAATCACAGATCACTGGAGCACTCTACTACAAGAATTATAACTGTAATTGTTGGATATTACATCAGAATAACACATGATTTAGTTATTTAGTTTGACACCATAAGATTTATAATAGACACAAGCAAGATCCGAGTCCTATATGACTTTCTGTGTCCACAGAAGTACCTGTGATACACCTACCAACAATGGGTTACATCCAAGTCCTTGAGAGCTGATGCCTGTATCTATACATACGACTCTTTTGATCTACAGAGAAACCTGCAGGTGATTCATTTGATCTACAGAGGAAACCGTTATATACCCACCTACATCGAGTAAGATCTGAGTCCTTGAGAGCTGACCCCTGAATATAGATGACTCTCTGGGTCCAAAGTGGAACCTGTAGTAACATCTTCATTGTGGAGTCCAGCTCACATGGTGATAATAACACTACATAGTAATCCTGAAAAATCAAAGAACAGAAAGACTTCAACTGTGTGCAGTAGAAGTGAACTGGACATATCAATGATCATTGGACAGCTCCATTGCCTGAGGTACTCGTCTTCAATTTAGAAGTCGTGGGTTTGAGTCTGTCATGGTCTCACCTGTATCATGTTTATTTGGTACTCAACAAAATAAATCCTAAAACAGTGATATAGCTAGAAACCTTCAGTTCTTGAAGAAGACTGGAATATATTGAAAAAGGATTTAGTGTTTCTATAGCCCATATGTAATGCAGCCATTTTGAATCTGGCATTTTTCCAGTCCAAATCTTGGTACATGATTACATTTTTCCTCTTTTGTTATACCTCAGTGACTAGTCCCCTAAGTACGTAGCTATAACTTCTGTAGATAGTCTACCCTTCATACCTTCATACCTCCAGGTTCTGTAGACTACCCTTCATACCTCCAGGTTCTGTAGATAGTCTACCCTTCACACCTTCATACCTCCAGGTTCTGTAGACTACCCTTCATACCCTCAGGTTCTGTAGGTAGTCTACCCTTCATACCTTTACACCTTCAGGTTCTGTAGACTACCCTTCATACCTTCATACCTCCAGGTTCTGTAGGTAGTCTACCCTTCATACCTCCAGGTTCTGTAGGTAGTCTACCCTTCATACCTTCAGGTTCTGTAGGTAGTCTACCCTTCACACCTTCATACCTCCAGGTTCTGTAGACTACCCTTCATACCTTTAGGTTCTGTAGATAGTCTACCCTTCATACCTTCAGGTTCTGTAGGTAGTCTACCCTTCATACCTTCATACCTTCAGGTTCTGTAGACTACCCTTCATACCTTCAGGTTCTGTAGATAGACTACCCTTCATACCTTTAGGTTCTGTAGGTAGTCTACCCTTCATACCTTCAGGTTCTGTAGATAGTCTTCCCTTCAGGTTCTGTAGATAGTCTACCCTTCATACCCTCAGGTTCTGTAGATAGTCTACCCTTCATACCTCCAGGTTCTGTGGGCAGTCTACCCTTCACACCTTCATACCTCAAGATTCTGTAGACTACCCTTCATACCTCCAGGTTCTGTAGATAGTCTACCCTTCATACCTTCAGGTTCTGTAGGTAGTCTACGCTTCACACCTTCAGGTTCTGTAGGTAGTCTACCCTTCATACCTTTAGGTTCTGTAGGTAGTCTACCCTTCACACCTTCAGGTTCTGTAGGTAGTCTACCCTTCATACCTTTAGGTTCTGTAGGTAGTCTACCCTTCATACCCTCAGGTTCTGTAGATAGTCTACCCTTCACACCTTCAGGTTCTGTAGGTAGTCTACCCTTCATACCTTTAGGTTCTGTAGGTAGTCTACCCTTCATACCCTCAGGTTCTGTAGGTAGTCTACCCTTCATCCCTTCAGGTTCTGTAGATAATCTACCTTTAATCTGACACCTGTGTCTTCTGACAAAGTCTAACCTGATACCTGTGTATTCTGACATTTGGTCTAAAGAGATAGCTGTGTCATCTGACATTAGGTATAGCACCTGTGTCTTCTGACATAAAGTCTAACCTAACACTTTTGTATTAAGACATTATGCCTAACCTGACATCCGTGTCTTCTTACATTTGGTCTTTCCCCACACTTGAGTATTCTGACTTTGGGTCTAAGCTTACACCAGTATATTCTAGCATTAAGTCTCACCTGACACATGTGAATTTTGACTTTGCTTTTAAACTGACACTTGTGTATTCTGATATTAGGTCTAACAATCAAAGTCCCATGCCACCATTTGTACTATAAACCTGCCAATTATACATACATCATATGGACACATAAAGTCAGTGTGCTCATGGGAACTGAATTCTTTTCATGGCATGCATATTCATTAGTTATGTTCTGTTAGAGAGTGAAAATCAATACAACTTCTGGAACTCCTAATACTGGCTATCATATTCATACATGAATGTCCCTTTGACAGAAAATGTCCCTAGAAAAATACTACCCGTCTCTGCTGTTTAATGTAACGCAAACAAAAAATAACACATCAAACAGCTATGCATCCAAATGTAAAACTGAATTGCATTTCAAATTTCTTTATGTCATACATTTTGACCAACTAGGAAGTCCACTTACAGTGACAGGTCTAATGTCTGGTAATAATCTTTCATACATCTTGGTGTGGAAATAATATCCATGGTTTGAGTATTGTCATACTTCTTCATAGAATGACCAATTTCATTAGACAAACTTTTAAAGGAGTTATCTCCCCTGCAATTTTAATGAGCGGAAACATTTGACTTACAGATAGACACATTTTCTTGATTTTAGGTTGAAACTACATGTATAAGAGTGACACAAATGCCCCAGTCAGGAATGTTTGGAAATTTTTAGTATTATAGGCTTTGTTAAGAGGTGTAGCTTTGGCTCATGAAAGAAAATTGCCTGAAGTTTTTCTGGGTTTTTTTTAACTCCCACTGGAGTTATGCAAGGTTCTCCTATTGTGATTTTACAGTTTTTGTGAAAATTTCAAGTAAAATTCTTAAAGTTTATAGTCATAACTCTGAGTGAATAATTAATGATTACCAAATAAAAAAATAGACAGATATCACATTTTTCACAAAACAAAACAAATCTTACTTCTTCCAACATTACATTAATTTGCTTTTGTCATCCATCCTCGATACTCCAAGGGTGCAGAGAGCGAAAGTGATTATAAACCCCTGGAGTGATTATGTAGTGGTTATGGAATGTTATGGCAAAACTGAAGGTTTCATGTGCAACACTTAGTGGACAAGATGAAAGGACTTACTTTGTTTGTGCCTTCAATTTTGCCATAACATGTTACAGGGGTGCAGAATGCAAAAGTGATTGCAATCCCTTGAGTATCGAGGATTTCTCTCATCATACCCAATACCATATAGCAGATAAAATATTGTTTTATTCCTTAAAGTTACAGAGAAACAGTAACAAATTCAAATCCTGTACAAGGCCCTAGTCATATTATTTGTGAAAAAATATTGAGAGAAAAAAGACTGAGTAAAACGTTCACAGATAGAAATGCCAGCCACAATAACCAGGATGGTTTTCCCAGTAACAGGTTAATGTGTATCTCCCTGCCTGAAATTCCTCAACTCCTTCCGATCTGGTGACCAAATACACATGGTATATTAACATGTTTAAGGTTTTCCGAAATATAACAGTTTTCTATTAATAAACAGCTAGAAGCATTATCTGCATTAAACACCACTATGCCATACTCAAATAGTTTATCATGATATTTACATTTATACCATTACACCACTATGCCATACTCAAATAGTTTATCATGATATTTACATATACACCATTATACCAAACTCAAATAATTTATCATATTTACATATATACCATTACACCACTATACCATGCTCAAATAGTTTATCATGATATTTACATGCACCATATATGTAAACCACAGGTGGAGAATCTAGTTTATCTTATCTGTTGCTTGATGACTGTCAGATTGATCCTGAATCACATGGGATTGGTGCTTGAAACTGATGACATTGTAAAAAAGGCAGTTGGTCAAAGGATCTAACATCTCATATTATGTAGAACAAAGCCTTTGATCTCTGATACTTGTACTACTGACAGGCGTATAATGTGTCCATCTTCATCTAAACCTGTCCATTTCAGAAATTATTTTCTTCAATGATTAATGTCAGGTTTTTTACCGGTTAAAAATGTCAGAAGCTTGCTTTGAAACATCATCTACTGAATAAGTAATTAAGTGAAAGATACTAATAATGTAAATGCTGCCATTCTCATCTAACAAATTTCAAAGTAAATGATATCTTTATTTAAAGGGGGTTGCACTATGACTTTTATATATCAACTAATGCTGATAGAAATCTGTCCAATTCCAGTGTTCTTGAATGTCACCTAGAAATCCTAGAATCCCCAAACATTACCTTACATTGAGTCAGTAATTTCCCTAAAGTTTGGGTAGAATTATAAGCTTACTACAATCCTATGTAATTAAGGGTTGACCTACCTGTAACTTAGGGTGGGCATAGAACTCATTGAGGAAGTCCATTATGGTGTCTGCTTGGAGAGTGGTTGTACACACGACAACATGTTTTTCTGTCTGGGCACGGTGACTGCTGTATGCCCCGCCCTGCTTCTGACGCTCCATCCAGAAAAACGCTAACTGTTCAAACTATTGAAGACATGAAGGATAAAGTCAGCATGACTTAAATTAAATGTATATCATGTGCAATTCAGATTTTTAACATTAAAAGATATTGTAGTGAAAACCGGGGTGAATTATCTCCCCTGGTTGTCACCGCTGACATGCGATGACATTGACACCACGAGATCTCGTGGAGCTCCTGTGACAGTTTGGCGCGAGACCATCGGACAGCCTTTTCTTGACTCTTGACCAGCAAACCGAACGGATGTGATTCACAAAACGTGAGTAACCTCACTGTACCATTTGTTGGTTTGGGAGCTGGGAGCAACCGTGGTGGTTCCTGTGTGTTATACACACATTGGACATCACTACATTTGGTGTCAGATGTCGGACGACTATCGCCATATTTTGATATTTTTACAGTTTTTTTCGTTGTATTGTGCACGTGCTGCAGCGCGTGGTCGCCATTTTTGGCAGCTCGTGTGCACATGTGTGCAATACCTCGTATTAGTTTAGGTTTTCATTTTTTTTTTTTCATTAGATTTATTTTAGGTAGTTAGTTATGTCATTGTTGTAACACCATAAACAGACCTCTGTTAAAAAATAATCTGTTTCTTCCTCAAAATACACCAACATCTTATAAGAAAAAGTGAGTGAATGCTCATATAACATAGCAGTCATCATATCTATGAAAAATACTTTCATTAAGCAATCACGATTCATTGGGGCATTAAAGTATTATAAATACCTGTGTTGGCAAGACAATAAGTGCAGCCCCAATCATGCATATCATAAAGAACTGAGATATCCAGATGTCAGGGCATATATCTCCATAGCCTACAGTAGAGAAGGTGACCACGGAGAACCAACATGACTCAAACAGTCCGAACTGTTGGTTACCTCCCCTTTGTAGATGTTGTATACCACAAACACTGCAAACAATCAGAAATTTCATTTTACTTGACAAGCAACTAATCAGGAAGTGTAGTTTCATTGATATAAACAACAACAACCAATCAAATATTTCTGATTACAGCACACCTATAATCAATTTCAAACAGTCTGTTAAGCAATATATCAATAAAAAGATTTTTTTACCTGGTAAACACAAGGCACAATACAGTAGCACACAGAATCATGAGTTGTTGAGCAAGGGCTGACTGAGATTTCATCATCACTCTATGTAGGTCATTCTGTAACACAAAAGTACACTGTTAGGAATTTCATCATATAATTAATCCAAATAAAAGTCTTTCTAAAGCAAGTATCACATTTAGTTGTGAAAGAACAGGGAAAATACACATTCCTGTCAGATGACCCAACCAGGAATCAAACTCTAGTCTCGGTTCTACTAACTGAGCCGAAGTAGCATGCTCTGTCAGCTAAGTGACAGAGACTGTATTTAACGATGCAAACAAGCCAGACCAACATGGTCCTATTATACCACTCCTCTCTTGAAATTACCTAAATCTTGATTCGAGATTCCAAATACCATGATTCGTAGGATTTCGTTGGGTGCCAATATGAGAGAACAGGGAAAATACACATTTCTGTCGAGTGCCCAAACCAGGAATCGAACCCAGGTCTCTGGCTGATAATCAACCCTGCTCTACCAACTGAGCCAAAGAAGCATACTGCGTCAGAGTGACAGAGACCATATTTAACACTATATACAAGCCACACCAACCCAGCCCTATTACAAATCATTGTCTGAAAGATTTTCTTTGGAATGATTTTCTTACTACAGAATAAATGCATTATGATAGAGTTAAATTCCTGTACTTACAAACATATTTTGTAAAGCAAGTTTGGCCAGCCAGCAGTTCAGGAACACAGGGATAAATAAATTACGAAGAGGTTCCCAAAAAATCTGTAGAACAAAATACATATATAATGGGAGACATCATTCATTTTCATAGTAATTTCCATAACTGTGAAAGTAGATATGATATATAGAAATTCAAGAACTATATATATATATATATATATATATATATATTTATATATGTCTATACTTAAATGACTATAGAGATCTTTATTTCTTTTAAAATACCACATTTTACCATTTATCAAAATATTCATTTTTACAATCGTAAATTTCTGATGTTCAGTATGTATCATTTATTTTTCCATTGTATTCAGTGGTAATTGTACTTACTGTGACAACAAATGGTACAGTGTTTACTAATTCTAACAGGAACTCCACAGACAAGATTTGCTGCAAAATGTTTCCCTGAAACAATGTCAAACAATCTAGATATTATAAAAGGTTTCACTGAAACAATGTTAAACAAATGTTTCCTTGGAATATTGTCAAACTATATAGATTTTATAGAATGTTTTCCTGAAATGTCAAACAATGTTCCTGATATATATACATGTATTACACAATGTTTCCCATGAAGAAAGTCAGAAAATGTAGATATTACAAAATGCATCCAAGTCAAACAATACATGTAGATGTATTACACAATGTTTCCCCGATGAATGGTGTCTAACAATGTAGATTTTATAAAATGTTTACTAATGTGAAACAATTCATACAAGAGCATTCATATTCAGAACTTGTTTCTTTCATCATATTTTTAAATTTTACAAACACCAAAACTATTTGGATGTTTTATAACCTGTATATTTGTATATATAAATGTAGTATGTAATGTAAGTTTTTTTATGACTGTACTAACTCCTACAGCTGATTTTGATACCTGAACTCATCCCCACTCCCACTTACCCATCTACACACCTCCTCTTTATTTTGGTATCGCAAATTTTGGGAAGTTACATCAATGTATTAAAATCCATCTACTAATGCTTCTAACAGTTAAAGGTATGGAACTAACACTAACACACGGTAATGAGATGACATCTAAATGTATGGCTAACCTTTTCTCTAGCTACATTACAGGTGCAGCTTAACCTGCTAATCTTTTCTCTAGCTACTTAACAGGTGCAGCTTAACCTGCTAATCTTTTCTCTAGCTACTTAACAGGTGCAGCTTAACCTGCTAATCTTTTCTCTAGCTACTTAACAGGTGCAGCTTAACAGGCTAACCTTTTCTCTACCTACTTAACAGGTGCAGCTTCACAGGCTATCCTTTTCTCTAGCTACTTTACAGGTGCAGCTTAACCTGCTAACCTTTTCTCTACCTACTTAACAGGTGCAGCTTCACAGGCTATCCTTTTCTCTAGCTACTTTACAGGTGCAGCTTAACCTGCTAATCTTTTCTCTAGCTACTTAACAGGTGCAGCTTAACAGGCTAACCTTTTCTCTACCTACTTAACAGGGGCTTCTTAACTAGCTATCTACCTTACTAAGGAATAATGTTAACCTTTTCTATATATCTACAAACAGATGTTCTCTGGCTACATAACACGTTGCTAATCTTTTTTCTAGATATAACATATGTTGTAATCTATTCTCTAGCTGCCATTAAGATAATTTAATGATCAGTTCTAAGATATAACAAATGTCAATAATCTGTCCTCACCAACATAAATCACCTTGCAAATGTGAAAACAGACCATTATTTGCTTGTTGCTAGGTAACAGACTTTGATCACCAGTAACTTAACTATAGCTTGCTCTTGCTATTTAATACTGGTTTATGCCCTGTAGTTGTATGAATAAGAAGCCATACTTAATATTTACAAAGAGTCTTAGGTATTCTGATAATGAAAGCTTGGCTATTGCTCTCACAGTAAAGCACACTTTCGTTTCCATTGACAAGCTTCCCTGGCTTGTAGAAGAGTTCATACAGGTCGCAAAACCCCTGAGGTAGCTTAAAGTCCTCTCATTTGGACCTCCATTTTTCTACATCAGTGTTACATTCCCTGACCTGTTTTATCAATGCCCTACATCCATAGGGAATGGAATCATTACAGCCATTCAGTCATATGGCTGGTAACAGGTTGACGCAAAGTGGTCTCCACAGTCTTGTTGCACTGATTGTCATATCCTTCATTGAAGCCACAATTCTGATCTAACCTGATCTGAATGCATTAAATTTCTCATCAATTATTATATCTTCATTCTACATACTATTGTTGTGTGGACATCTTTATCAGAATGGATGATCGTCTTCACAACTACTGACACTTCTTTGTTGACAGAGTCAGTGTACAGAATAAGATATCTTGTCTATTTTTGATAAATCCTCGATGACACTACTGACAAATTTTAGGTCAATATGATGAACGCAATATAAGTTGTGAGAAATGAGATCCATTTCTAGATCGATGAACTCAGTAAAGAATTGCAAAAATAGTATGAAAATATGTCATAGAAATGGCAAGATGTACGGACACAAATAACCTCTCATTTATCAAAACTAGGAAATAATCGTAATAGCACTTCATTGAATGAATTGTTTCAGTAATCATGTATTTACAAAGATACTGCTAAATCCATATCTGGTACAAATGTGGCCCATGCTACAAGTACAAGGCACAAAACAATGTAAATTTAAACTTAAATGCGAACAAAAACTGATATTGAAATGACTGATCATACAACACTTCTTCTTATTGAAATTGGCTTAAAATTTCTCCCTCTTCACTCAGTTCTCATAATCGACTTAGCAGGTAAAATGTCTGCAGCAAGATAACATGGGGCATTGCTGTGACAATAAAATGAAATTGAATGAGATTTAAGTTTTATCATTGAAGTATCAGTTATGTGTATTGCAGGACAATGGAAATAGGAGAAAAAGTAAACAACATGTATTATGTGTAATAATGTCATTTTCAATCAAATTTGTATATCAAAACTATTTCATAAGGATTAGGGTCCAGTCTAGGTCAGCTGATTGACTTGAAAAACAATAAATACAGACAAGGCCCAAACACAGACATGATCTAGATTGCTTTTTCTGAATGATATACTGTTAAGCTCTGAGGATATGCATGTCTGAAGATAACGAGTAAACACATCGTAAGACAGAGACAAAAGTTATGGCTTCTCTGGGCTTTATCAAGTTCCAATTCCTTTCCCATCCCAGGTTCAAAATGCTAGAAGTCAGAGGTACAATGCAATGCTATCCCATCTTAGAAATTTCACAATATTTCAATATTGGCTTTTCAGTCCAACTTATCATTATAGAAATATAAAAGTTGAGACACTAATCAATCTGGTAATTATAAAACAGATGCCATTATATAAAGAGATCAAAATCAAGATCGGTAGGTGACCCAGCCCCATAATTCACTGAATTTCTTAATTTTCATACATCCTCATATGTGATAATTACAAAAGAACATACATATATGTATTCTGAACCAATTTTTGGCCAAAATTGGGACGAGACATTTTTCATTCCTCCTTCCTTTTTCAATTTTCATCCTGTTGACCACTGCGATGTATAGAAGACTGAGAAGCTGACAATAGCTGTTTCAAAGTTCATATTGCCATAACCCAAATCATAAAACTGTTTTGACTCTATACAAAATGATATTCATTTTGGTATTTTAGGTCTTCTCATTACATCTGTTTGATTTCAAAACCAAACGACTCTAGATATAGATAGCATTGCCTTTTTTTTGATTTGACAACATGACCTCAGCAAAACTTCACACAACAGAACGTTAAGCTATAGCAAGTGGTCCCCTCCAGTAATCAGATCAAGTAACCGAACTGAAACGGTTTGATCGTCAAAGTTGTAAGTAAACGTAACACATTTTTCATGAAGATTTCTTTTTCTGTGTATATGTCAAAACATCATTCGATCAGTTAACACAAAACACAGAAAACCACAGTTCTGACTGTTTCACCCTGTGGACTGTCAGGAGTAGAACAAATTAACTTTCACACATAGAAAGTTCCTGTTGAATGGATTTCATACAATGATGCAATCTCCTTGTTTTTGAAATACACTTTAAAAGCTTCGGCTAGCTATCTGCAAACAACTAAAAAAAAGTCTACAGTTCATTCACTGATTTGTAACAAAGCACAGCTTTAACATTATTATACTCTGTTCAAATATTTATACCTCAGCTGAAATTTTATCACATGAAAGTAGACTTTAAAAGCAAGTGCACATGTGTTGGATCATTGCAGCTCTGTCACAGTGTTAAATCAATGTATCTTTGAAGTGTCATCAGAAACTTGATAGAACATCATGAAGTGTTTTAAAGTTGATATGTACAATTTGATATTGTAGAAAACATGTGTTACTTTTACATCACAGATGTGTTTCTTACTTGTTGATTAGTTTGTTCATGAATGCCCCGCCTTTTTTACCTGTAGATCTATAGCCTCCCTATTGAAGTTAGTGAGGGCTACCAAATCACCACAGGTAAGGAGTGATGAACCATACACCTTAGATCTTCTAACAGACTCAGCTATATATGTTTATAGTGAGTTTCTGGTTAACAACATCTTCATCAGGTTTGGTGGTAAGATCTTCCAACAGACTAATGGCATACCTATGGGAACAAACTGAACCCCTCTGTTGGCTGACTTGTTTCTGTTCTCATACAAGGCTGAATTTATTGAAGAGCTTATCAAAATAGGTTACAAAGACCTTGCAAAGTCGTTTAATTTCACTTTCAGATATATTGATGATTTCTTGTCTTTTGATAGCAAGAAATTTATTGACTACGTCCATTGTGTTTTTCAACCAGAACATGAAATCAAAGATACACCAGATTCATCTACATCAGCTGCTTATCTCGATCTTTTCCTGCAAGGAAACCAACATGGACAGCTTTCCACCAACTGTATGATTAACATAATGATTTTAATTTCCCTATTGTGAATTTTCCATTTCTGGATTGCAATAGCCCTGCATCTCCAACTTATGGTATTTACATGTCACAGTTGATTCAATATTCAATGGTCTGTTCCCATTATCATGATTTTCATGCAAGAAGTCATCAACTGACAGACAAACTCATAACATAATGCTTCAAAAGATGCAGGATGAAAATTATGGGTAAGGTTTTGTAGTTGCCATAGTGATCTCATTGTGAAATATGCTTTTTTTTTGTGCTACATATAGCTGTACGTATTTCGTGCTCATAAGTTTGCCAGTTGGTTCTGTTCTTGTATACCTTGTTCTCATTTGAGAACCTGACATTACTTACTTGGATTGACCAAGGTTTACATGGCGGGTGTCATCCATTAAGCAGAAGATGCTTACTCCTCTGTACCATCTGTTCTTATTATCCTTGTACTTTTTCAGGAGTCTCCATGTAAATCTTTGATTTGTTCATATTTGCCCTAGTTTTATGGAATTTGAGCTTGAATTATGATTATGTTGCCATGTTGGTATTTTCTTGACACACAACACAAGTGTTGATAATAAAGACTATAATTTTCTTCCTATTTATATTGTTGACCATATGTATTTATCTATGTTTGAGATTAAAATATAAATTTACTTAATAGATTAATGTAAAGTTAATTCTGTATTAGATGGAGAACATGTACTGTTTTTTTCTGTTCTTGATACTAGAGATAACATTATGGTTCTGTATCCGAGCTGTTTATTTGTAGTTATGATTAAAAGTAAATTTGCAAACAAAGCCAGTGTCCAATTTTAATAGTACAGAAATCCATAGTAAGATTTAAATTATTTGTTTTTGACATCTATACCCTCAAACTTTATACTGGATGCATTAAATATAATTGGACCTGTTCACATACTCCTTATTTCCCCGGTGGGTCGAACATTGCATTCAGAAAAGTTTCTCTAAATTATTCATGCAACTTAAATACCATTGTCACAGACCAATGTGCGTGTTGTAGTCACTATTGTATCACATCACTTGACATCTTGTGCTATAGACTCGGCGTCAGCAGTATAATATTGCCGCAGAACATAGCCAACACACACCTACATAGTTTATTATTCATCGTTAAAAACAAGTAATAACATTATAACACAGACACAGATGAGTGATAACTGGATTATCAGCTTCATTTTTATTATTGCATTCAAGAAAAAAATGTCTGGAGCTGTTGTGAGTGTTTAATGGACTTTGGTAATATGGAATATATAAGCCGAGTTTTGTATTTCAAATGTGTGAAAATGCAGGGTCATAGCATTGGGCTAAATTGTATTGGGTATAAGCTATAACAATATGCTGAGTTGCAGGAATTTAACAAATGACAGGTTCTAGAACATTTATGAACTTCAGTCATTATTTCTAACTTTCTATAGTTCAATTCAGATTCTACTCAAGTTCAAAACTGACCATGCAGTCAATTTTATAGACTGCTCCTAAGCTTGTATCAATCACGCCTCTAAATACCTTAATCCTTTCCACTAGATTATACTTAAAGCTTGTCCCACATCCTCCATCAATCACCCCTCTAAATACCTTGATCCTTTCCACTAGATTATACTTAAAGCTTGTCCCACATCCTCCATCAATCACCCCTCTAAATACCTTAATCCTTTCCACTAGATTATACTTAAAGCTTGTCCCACATCCTCCATCAATCACGCCTCTAAATACCTTGATCCTTTCCACTAGATCACACACAAAGCTTGTCCCACATCCTCCATCAATCACCCCTCTAAATACCTTGATCCTTTCCACTAGATTATACTTAAAGCTTGTCCCACATCCTCCATCAATCACCCCTCTAAATACCTTGATCCTTTCCACTAGATCACACCCAAAGCATGTACCGCATCCTCCATCAATCACCCCTCTAAATACCTTGATCCTTCCCACTAGATAACACTCAAAGCATGTACCACATCCTCCATCAATTACGCCTCTAAATACCTTGATCCTTTTCACTAGATTATACTTAAAGCTTGTCCCACATCCTCCATCAATCACTCCTCTAAATACCTTGATCCTTTCCACTAGATCACACCCAAAGCATGTACCTCATCCTCCATCAATCACCCCTCTAAATACCTTGATCCTTCCCACTAGATAACACTCAAAGCATGTACCACATCCTCCATCAATTACGCCTCTAAATACCTTGATCCTTTCCACTAGATTATACTAAAAAGCTAGTACCACACCCTCCATCAATCACACCTCTAAATACCTTGATCCTTTCCACTAGATCTCACTAAAACCTTGGTTTGATTACCCTCCATTAAGCATTTATCCTTCCACAGACCTTTAACAAGTCATTAGAAAGCTTGGTTTCACAACACTTAATTTAAAATCCGTTTGGAATACTTCCTTTATCCCAGATCATTCCTTCATCAAAAATAGCACTGTAAACTAAAGATTATGTCATCCTCAATGATCACTCTTTCTAAAAGCCTTCCCTACAAGATCATTCCTCTGACAAGATTATCAACAAAAGCTTGCTTCCATCACCAACAGTTGAAGATTCCTCTAAAGGCCTTCCATCATCAAGATTATCTTTTGTCAACATTATCATTAAAGGCTTGCATTCATCAACCTTAAACCGTGATCTCCTGCACAAATTACAAGATATTCTGTTAAAAAATAACAATGAAACATACTTATAATCATCCTCATCATTTAATCATGTTCAACACAGAAGATCTCTTGCTTCAGACATGATTTTTTCTTCATCATAAAATCTACATCTTACACCAACCTTTATCAAAATCTGTATTTAACCAAACCTTTTTTTAACTGAATATACAGCATGATATATCAAATATAATTGAGCAAAATATCAACCTAATACACCAGTTACCTAAGGTTACTATGGCTACAAAAAGTACATTTATTAGTGTCTGGATTATGTGAGAAAATCTCTTTGCCATTTTACATCCTGATACTTTTGCTCAAAAATCAATACCGTCACCTTGCCTATCAAAGTAGGCTAATTAGCCTCTCTTGTCCAACTCAATGAACACGTGGCTCGAGGACAGAATATTGCATTCGTTTTCAAAGTGGTCACAGACACTAAGATAGAATCTAGATTGTGAGTGTATCTGTATATCAACAGTACAGGTACACTAGCTTCAGATAAAGGAAACTGTGGGGAACTAGGTGACAGGTACACTAGATTCAGATAAAGGAAACTCTGTGAGGAACTAGGTGACAGGTACACTAGCTTCAGATAAAGGAAACTCTGTGGGGAACTAGGTGACAGGTACACTAGCTACAGATAAAGGAAACTCTGTGGGGAACTAGGTGACAGGTACACTGGCTTCAGATAAAGGAAACTGTGGGGAACTAGGTGACAGGTACACTGGCTTCAGATAAAGGAAACTCTGTGGGGAACTAGGTGACAGGTACACTAGCTTCAGATAAAGGAAACTGTGGGGAACTAGGTGACAGGTACACTAGATTCAGATAAAGGAAACTCTGTGGGGAATTAGGTGACAGGTACACTAGCTACAGATAAAGGAAACTCTGTGGGGAACTAGGTAACAGGTACACTGGCTTCAGATAAAGGAAACTCTGTGGGGAACTAGGTGACAGGTACACTGGCTTCAGATAAAGGAAACTGTGGGGAACTAGGTGACAGGTACACTAGCTTCAGATAAAGGAAACTCTGTGGGGAACTAGGTGACAGGTACACTAGCTTCAGATAAAGGAAACTGTGGGGAACTAGGTGACAGGTACACTAGATTCAGATAAAGGAAATTCTGTGGGGAACTAGGTGACAGGTACACTAGCTACAGATAAAGGAAACTCTGTGGGGAACTAGGTGACAGGTACACTAGCTTCAGATAAAGGAAACTCTGTGGGGAACTAGGTGACAGGTACACTAGCTTCAGATAAAAGAAACTCTGTGGGGAACTAGGTGACAGGTACACTAGCTTCAGATAAAAGAAACTGTGGGGAACTAGGTGACAGGTACACTAGCTTCAGATAAAAGAAACTGTGGGGAACTAGGTGTCGGGTACACTAGCTTCAGATAAAGGAAACTCTGTGGGGAACTAGGTGACAGGTACACTAGCTTCAGATAAAGGAAACTCTGTGGGGAACTAGGTGACAGGTACACTAGCTTCAGATAAAAGAAACTGTGGGGAATTAGGTGACAGGTACACTAGCTTCAGATAAAGGAAACTCTGTGGGGAACTAGGTGACAGGTACACTGGCTTCAGATAAAGGAAACTGTGTGGGGAACTAGGTGACAGGTACACTAGCTTCAGATAAAGGAAACTGTGTGGGGAATTAGGTGACAGGTACACTAGCTTCAGATAAAGGAAACTCTGTGGGGAATCCTAGTAATGGGCACAGTCATGTAGATAGAAAACACATAGCAAACCAATCTTATATCAGAAAGCCTTACCTTATAACTGAGATACTGGACAAGAATGGTTTCTATAAGGCTAATTCCAGCGACCCACACCTGGATGAACCATAGACCACCAGAACGATTCACCCACAGGATCCTGTTCCTGAAAGCCAATAAAAGAAAGAAGTGAAAAACATTATCAATTAGTCATAATTCAAAATAAGATATTAGCAATATACTCCACTCTCTAAAATATAATTCTAAGGAAGGGTCAAGAGTTTTATAACCAACATGAAGTATAGGAAACTGTATTCTACAGGTCATCTTAAAAACCCTCTTAACAAGAGGCCCATGGGCCTTAACGGTCATCTGACATAAAATACAAGATTTCAAATTTTGAACTTGAGAAGTCAAAAATGTGTTTTCAAGATGGCGGCCATGTTGGATTTCGGACCAACCCGAAATTAACAAACTTTGGTCAGGATCATGTCACAATCATTTCAGGTAAGTTTCAGCTCAATGACCCATGTAGAAGTTGAGAAGTAGTTGAAAATGTTTACGACGTACGATGGACAACAGGCGACGCTGGACAAAAGGCGATCGCAATAGGTCATCAGACCCTTTGGTCAGATGACCGAAAAATAGCATTGGTGTTTAACAAAAGAAAGTCATCCAAATGTTCAACATATAACAAGTGCAACACCGTCACTGTACTCATAATACATTTTGTATTGATGAATTGACAGATCTAAGCCTCCATTCAGAGACAAGTAGATGGACACTGGTTTTCAATCAGTACAATCTCCCTTCCTCAAGGGATTTTTATCAAACTCTGAATTCTTATAAAAGGAACATAATATCAAGAACAATGTTTAGTGTCAAGGTTGTAGGGTCAAAGTCAAAATCTTTCTCACCACTTTAGCGGTTTCATTTCTAGAAAGATTTCAATCAAATTCTCATTCTTAGAAAGGACCATAATATTACAGACAGGTTTCAGGGTTGTATAGGGTCAAGGTCACCATCACTATTTCTAGAATATCAATGTCTGCACTCTAATGGTTTCATTCCTTGAGGGATTGAGATCAAACTTCTCACACTTGGCTATGGGTTCTTTATTGTGCATTAGTCGAGTTGGAACAGTGAGAGGATTTGTATCCTGTGGTATGCCTTATTTAGATTTCTTTTGGTGTTCTAGTTCATCTCACACAGAAATTTGTACAGGATTTCTGGATAGATTTTTGTTAGATGTTTAAGTTTTGTTAGATCTCTTACTACATAACAAGTTACACTAAATCTTTTAACTATGTAAACAAGTGTGTTACTATTTTTTCTGAAAATTCTACCTTTAAAGTTATTTATATTTTTCTTTCTGTTCTTGCATCTGGTCTTTTTGTCCCTAGACTACTGAACTTTTTTTAAAACCAAATGTCTGTATGTTTAACACAATCTTTGAAGTATATATTTTTTATCATACTCTTAGTAAAGGTTGGAAACCACATAATTGATAGCATAGATTTCTAAAAATAGCAACAGTGGCCTTGACCAAACAACCACGAAACAGATCTTTTCTGATACATTACTGACTTTTATCAGTGTGTGACATTTTATCAAAAGCCTTGAAGGAATGAAGCCAGAATAATGCTGACAAGGAATTTCTAAAAATAGTATCAATGACCTTAACACTACAACCTGAAATTTTCTCTGGTCTAAGATATCGTTGCGTTGTCCAAATGTATATTAAATTAGATCAAAATGAGAAAAGAAGCATGCCGAGCACTGACAAGGACTTTCCAAAATCAGGTCCTACCACCAAAAAACTCTAAAACTCCAAAATATTTCAGTCCTTTACATGAATGTGAAATCAGACCTAAAATCTTTGAAGGAATGAGGATGCTAGAGTGTTGACAAGGATAAATGTTATGTCATGTTAGTACATACACATGTCCCTTTCCCAACATTTATTGCTAGGGAATATAATTCCCTGATTAGAATGGTTTGTATCGAACAACACAAATCTCTTGAGAAATTGGGAATTTGTGAAGGCTTAAGGAGAGATGATCTAGATGTATGAGACTCAGGACAGTGAATGATATGGGGATAGCGAAGTGATACAACAATACTAGATGTATGTAATCCTGTAAAATTCAGGCATAAAAGTTTCATTTTCAACAAAGAAATCCCTAAATGTACCATATATACTGTAACCATTGATACTCGACAATGTTAGAGAACCAAACAAAATATCATAGAAATTACTAAATACAACTTGTACAGCAGCATATACTTAATAATGGGAAAAGACAGGGAACAAACTTTGGTGACCCTTTAATATCAGCTGTTCAACAATTGCTTAGATCAACAGATTTCAGACTATACAACTTAAAAGTTCCATTCATAAATTTCATATTGCTCTGTTTATTTACCAGTTGATAGATGGATTTTCCTGGAAGCGATCTGCATCAACCGGAGTCCAACAGTCCTGTGTCTCCACAACTGTTCCATTTGAGAGCTGTTGGCTGGAAAACACAACACAAACAATCCATTGCCAATAATTTGTAACATGGAAAACGATTTCATTTGAATATCATGTCTATTTTTTTTTAAGTCAGTCATATATATCATTTGAATATTTGAATTTTAACCACTGACTAAAGTCAGATGTTAAATTTCATAATAATTTCACTTTATAAATCGTGAACAGTTTAGTAGCACAGCAGATTGTGTGAAACTGTATTTTCTACATGGCACATTGCTACAGTGACCTTATAAACCTTTAATCTTATAGGAAAACCATCTAAACAGCAATCCCAGGCACACTTTTCAGTGAAAACACACTGTATAAAGTTTAAATGAAATTCCAATAGTTAAGACAAAAGTGTGAATCAAAAGAGGACAAAAGAAGACATGATACCACTGATTGTAGGAATCTCCTCTTGCCAACAGCCAATAACAAGTGTCAAGATGTCTGTGAATGATGTATGAAAATCTCAAGTGGAGATCATCAGCATGATTGAATTTAATGATTCAGTTTTCCAAAGATAAAAGCAAACAAGCTTTTTGATAACTTTGATCAACCTTTCTAATTTGATTACACATTAGACTGGTTGAATCATCTAGATGCTGCCCACAAAATTCACTGTTAAATTAAACAGATGTCACAAGTCATTTCTATATGTGACCTTTGCCCTTCAATTTCATTTTAGTAACAATTCCTATAACTTGTATATAGTATGAATATCTTCCACTGATTTCCAATCATTTGATTGTATAATATAAACAAAATAGAGAGTCTAATAACCTCCCCCCACCAGGGAGCCCCTCCTGCCTGCCTGTCATACCTTTGCACAACCAGAAATACATCCTTCTTTATCTATGGCAGTCAGCTGGCTGGCTTTTTTCAAAATGTCTCGGTGACTTTCCAGAAATACAAGGTGATATTGCTGTGGATTTTGTCATATTTCATAGTAGCTTTACCATTTATATTTCCCATTTATTTGTTAATTGTATTGGCGGGGATTTCTCACTCCATTATCTCCATCTGTGTCCAGTTTTGTTTACTGTTCCTCATTTTTGGGTTGTTTTGCTTGTTCACTCTTAAACTAGCTGGAATCGAGGGACTTATCTTCCTGGTCTAGGAGATAGTAGACCAAGTGGTGTTTCAGCCTAAGGAACATTAAGAGTATATTCTGCCTCTCACTTCATATCTTGCTGTATGTGAACTTTTTTCAGGGTATCCTTGTAAAGATTGTCTGATCTGCCCGAGGACTGATGTCTGCCCTGAATTCAGGATTAAGTTCAGCAGCAGCATTGCAGTGCTTGCTGCTTGCTGGCATAATGCTCCCTTGCCGATTTCCATCTGTGGGGATATTCAGCTTAGCAAACCCTTCCACTCACAAATTTCGATGGCCCCCTTCAATGGTCCTACTCAATTCAGCAGGGTCTTGCCTATTATACTGAAGGATCTGAAAGAGGGCTCTGTGGCCTCAGGCATTCTTTTCAAGAAGCTTGAGTCCAATCAAAGGATCTGTTTATAAAGGCTCGAGACTTGGCTCTAGCTTTCATGTCTGGGGCTCAGGTGCTTTGGTTCCTCAGGTTTCTGAGGTATCTTTACTCCCTGGCAGATGTAGATCTATTGGGACGTCTTCACATCAGACCCTTGTAAATGTTCCTGCTCGCCATATTGGTCCCTGCTTCCTGGTATTGGGAAGGAATGCTCTTATTAACCAAGTCAGTGAAGGGCTTTATGGTGTTTCCCTCCACAGGCCAAACCCCACTATGACCCTCTGTACAGATGCGTCCATGACAGGGTGGCGCACCAGATCTCATGTTCTGTGTGCCTTGGCTATCAGGTTTCTGTTTTATCACCAAATGCACTTGACCATTCAGGTCAAGCATCTTCCAGGCTGCTTGAGCATCCTGGCCAACACTCTCCCTAGGCATTGTCAGACGGTGTTGACAGAATGGTAGCTAAAACCTTTAGTTTTCTGAGAGGTATGTCAGGCTTTGGACATACTTAACATAGATCTAATTACCACAGCATACCAAACTATGAGTCTTCACTCCCCATTCCAGTGGCTTGGACAGCTATCATGGGAGGCCTTGTTCAGGCAGGGTTTTCTGAGGACAAGACAGAGAGCATCACAAGGTCTATCAGGTCTTCCTCTTCTCCAGATTGATCCACTCAAAACTCCTGTTTCGGTGATTGCTGATTTTCTCCTGTCTTTGTTCAGAGAGCACAATCTAGCATCTGGAACCAACGCTGACTATTGCTCTACTTTGGCCAGTGCATTGTCTCTCATGGAAGACAGTAAATAAAGCACTTCCCCTTCTTTGTCTGCTCTACTTAGGGGTTTTGGTCTGGTGAGAGTCAAACAGTTAGCCCCACAATGGAATCCAGCCTTTGCGTTGGATTACCTAACTAGAGTCACATATGAGTCAATTGGTAAGGCCTCTCTCAAGTTTCGAACTTTAAAGATGGTTTTATTTATTTCCTTGGCTTCTGGGTGCTTTTGGGTCATATCTTCCTTCTTATCTTCATTGGTTTAAGGTGTTTTCTGCGGTGTCTATAGTCACCTATCCTGCATTCATAGCTATGCATTAGGTTCCTGGATTTTCTCCTGAGCCCACTAGGATCCATTTTTTGGTTTCTGTTGGGGCAGCTGATACAATGGCAGTTTATTCTGTCCTTGCCAGACCTAGCATTTTTATCCAGGGTTTATCTAAAAATTAAAAACAGGGAGGGAGGGGTGAGGTTCCTGTTCTTGATTGCTTCTGCTAATCAAACAGGGTAAACAGGACATTAATTCTCAGTCTATCTCCAGATGGATCTGTGAAGTAATCCATTTTCTTTATGATCACTCTGATGAGGACATCATAAGGCAGTTCAAGGTAAGGGCTCATGAAGTCAGGGCTCTTGCTACGTCTTGGGCTCTCTTCTCAGGCTCTTCTTTTCATGACGTCATGTCGGCTGCCTTCGGCAAGAATAGGCCATGTTTACTGACTTTAACCTGAGCTCATTGGCTTCAGTTTCTGATGACCTTTTTTCTCTCTTTGTCCTATGTTTGTGGTGCAGTCAATGGCTGTTCTCTCTTCTGGAAGTCAGTAGTATGTGTCGCATCTTACATTGACTATCTATTAAGTTTTTCCGTTGGGTATTTAGTTCAGGTCTTTTTACTTCCCTGGATTGGATTTGGTGCTGCGATGTGAGACAGTAAGATGAATAATGCATACTAAAGTTATGGTAATTATTACTGAAATGAAATGGAAATCTTTATAATGTAGTACTTTTCATAAATTTCTCCCATTTTTTGTTTCAAAATTCTTGCTTTCCCTTTTCTTTTTATCCTGCACTTTTCCCTGCGGCGTCAGTGATAAAGAACAATGTATTTACAGTCATGCAGGTATGACAGGCAGGCAAGAGTGTCTCCCTGAGGGAGGTTTATTGGGCTCTCCTTTTTGTAAACATACCAACAAAAATGGGAATTAGTGGAAGATATGCCTACCGAAGTCAAAGTAAGTAATTACATAATAAAAATTGGTTTCACAAGACAAACCTCAAATCTAGCCAACAGATATAGGGTGCCCTCCAGGGTACAGAAACATGGCACTTGACCATGGTCCATGGATATGTATAACACTGAAATAGGTGGTAACCTGCAAAATCTACACATGTGGCAGAAAGTCCATTGATGGCATTGTGTCATTTTATTGTCAAAATTTCATGTCAACAATATGGCTGTCACTTCTTAACAAAAAATGCAATCTTTTCATTTTTCACTGATGATAATAGCATATAATTTATATCTTAAGAATGAAAAATTCAATGAATTTCAAATTTTCCATAAAAAACTTCTTAAATATTTTTTTTTTAATCTTACACTTCGAATAAACTAATTATGTTTTCTGAATTAGTTTTCATAGACAATTTCCATTTTTCAGAGGATAAAAACTTAACACACAAATATGGACCATAGGTTGGCAATCTGTTAAAACTCCTTGTGCTTCAATGTTTGACTCAAAACGGTGTACTGAAGTTTACAGCAGTCATTCAGAATTTGCAAATGTAAATCACAGAAACACTTTTGGCATTGCTGAGGTTACAAGTTTCAGAAGCCATTAAACAAAGAGCATTATCAGTACATGAATACCATTTTAACACAATAAAACGTAAGTAATCATTGTACATTATACCCTTTAACAAAGCTCAGACTTGAGTTGTCAAGGTGGTTTTCAGGATGCTGAAAATACTTAAAATCACAAACTTTCAACACCCTTGAGCAAGCAGTTTGTCAGTAGATGGATCATCATAAAAAAATAGTCCTGTTTGGGTAGAATCTATCTTGTACATAATGCTTGTGGTGCAAGAGGAGGTTGTAAAAGCATGCCCTTAACAACTGTGGTATTTAAGAAAATGCCAGGAATAGTAAAGGGTAAGGCTTTGAATGAGATCCCCAGCTACAAACACAAGTTAATAGTTAATGGGAGGCTTTCCATTACCAAATGACTTCCACTTGAACAGGAACTCCTGGAATTTAAATGCTGACGAACCTATATGTCTCATCAGCATAAAGACATCCAAAGTACATGTAGTAATTACATAGGAAAGGTCAGGATAATGTCAAAAAATAACACCATCTTGATTACCATCAAATGTTACCATTTTTGTCTATTTGGTTCCTACACCTTCATACAACAATTAGGTAATAGAGAGTGAAAGTTTTTCCAGCATATTGATCAAGTCTGAGCTGGAAGGATACCACACAATACACATTCATGTATGTCCTTTAGAGACTTAAAAAAACACAGGCAATATAACACTGATGCATGTTCAATTAAATGAATATGTTTTGAGAATGGGAAAATGTCAGACAATGCATTGAGATCATCATTTGATCTACAGATCTATACCCAGTGGTAATGATGAGTTTGCCTTCAGAACTTTGAAACAACTATCCTCAGTGTTCTCATACTTCATCTCTCAATAAAGGTTTACGTAATCCAAAACATATCAAATTGCTCATGAGAAGACAATTTGATTCAGGTAGACCTTAATATATATATATATATATATATAGCTCATGAGAGGATTGGTATCCGTAAAACCAAAATGTCATTCATGAAATAGCAAGGCATATAAAATATTCAACAAGTAATCCCCAATGACAGTTAATTCCTGAACAGATACAATTTAATGACAACTAGATCATACGGACAATGTACATGGCCAAAGTCAGACCATGCAATTGGTCACCTTTTTGGACATTAACCAACTAAAGACACTCTTAGAATATAAAGGGCACATGTCAGATTGGACATGTAATATTTATGGTGCAAAATGGCACACATTTGTAGGACAATTATACCATTTTGACGAACTATTCAGAGATACCCTAAAATGTAAAGGGTACCTGTTAGTTTGGGCACTTACCATTTGGACAACCCATCCATAGAGACTCTCACAATGTACAGGGCACATGTTAGAAGCTTGATTACAAGGTTGAATATTCGTATTCGTAAACCTGTGAATGACAAAAAATCCCTGTGAGCATCAAAAGACAATTGGATAGATATATCTTAATGCTTATAGACATAAGTAAATTCACCTTACAAAAACAGAAATGAATTATACATGCAATATCATTATTTCAACAGGATCTAATTTCTTACAAATAGAATTTCTATCTTTCCATTCTACCGTCAGTTTCCCATTTGGTTCTATGTAATCCAGATGGGAATATATCAGGCTATGAACTCCCATCTGGTCAAGCGTATGAATACAAATTGGGTGGTCAAGGTGAGCTGTCCACCAAAAAGTAATCCTGGTAGATATAAATGTAATATCTACATTCAGTCTTGCATTCGCCTATAAGTCATTAATATGCCAAATTGTAGTATATGAGACTGTATACTCAATTTACAGTAATTCCGTCAGCGTTGGAATTAATACATCTAGATGTCTCCTAGGCAAAAAAAACTGACCACCAGTCCTTTCCCTCCAGTATCAATATACAGTGTACTGGCATATCCGGAGTTGTTGGACTTAAGTAACATCTCCACAAAAAATAAGTAACTTTACAAAGCCATCTAAATTTAACAGAACAAATCTATTGTCAAACATGTAATTTTGTCTCAAAATCATTATTAGTACCATAAAATAACATAATATATCAGTTTCTCAACTTCGTTTCATCCATTCCACAACACGAAAACGTAAATCATTCCTGAAGGAACACTAGACACATTGTTTTGTGAAATCTGACAGAACTTGATCTCATTTTAATGAAATATCAAAAAGCAATAAACTGCTTTATTTTGAACAAATGAAAAAATAAAGTAATTATTAAAAAAAATTAAGAGAGATTACTCTTTTGTATCTATAATCAAGTTCAATATGTGACTATGCTTATTTATACAATTACTATATATGATGACACAAGGAACTGTAATATTTTTATGGCTGTATTCAGATTTATACTAGCTGGCATTGGTATTCGGCTAAACAGGAAGTTTGAACAATGTATTTAATGGTTTTTCTTTTGTTTTGATTTTTTCAAAAAGATATTAATGCTTGGAAATATAGATAATTAACTATTACCACATGGGAAATACTGTTGATATGAAGCCAATCCGGGTAGAGGATAAATGGCACCTGTTATACTGTTTAAATAGAGACAATTTGTCTGTACTAAGATATTCTGCCAAAATGTTCATCATTATGACTTTCATAAACAGCAGCTTATTGACGACTTTCTAACTAAAATTCTTATTTTTACAAACAGGTTGTGTCACAGTATATGAAAATACTTTATTACCATCTAAAAATTCATGGATGCCAGCTTTCTATTTACATGACACATGTTGCTATGCCTAGATTGATGGAAACACACATGTCAATACATCAAAGTGATTATTTTCAGCTTTTTCAATTATTCCTTTCTACAGCAGCCTATTGATTTTACAGGCAAAATGACTGGCATATGCAGTCAGTAAAAATTGGGGAAAGCTGAATTTCATTAATATTTTTGACTACAACATTTCATTGTGACAAAAAAGTATACAGCATCATTTGCATTACAGTGTTTTATTGGAATTTTGAACTCAATACACAATATTTTTTCAAAAGATAATGGACAATAAAGCCATTTTTTTCATGAATCTTTAATTACAACTCTCATCCGATCAATTACAACAATTGACTGAAATAACGCTATCATTTTCATTTATCAAGGAAATTAATATGCTAAACATTTTTTAATTTACAGACTGAGATCAATTATGTCAGAAAGTGTTATACTTGTATTAAGAAATAGTCATACAGTGTGTGTAATAGAATGACTGACAATATAATGCTATATTAACTAACTGATAATTAAAAAAAAAAAAATTAAAAAACCAAGAAGATACCAACATGGCAACATAATCATAATTCAAACTCAAATTCCACAAAACTAGGGCAAAATATGGACAAAAGAAAGATTTAGACCGAGACTCCTGAAAAAGTACAAGGATAATAAGACCAGATGTACCGGAAGAGTAAGCATATTCTGCTTCATGGATGACACCCGCCATGTAAACCTTGGTCAATCCAAGTAAGTAATGTCAGGTTCTCAAATGAGAACAAGGTATAAAAGAACAGAACCAACTGGCAAACTAATAAGCACCAAATACTTCCAGCTTCATGTAGCACAAAGAAATTGAATATTTCTCAATGAGATCACTATGGAGACCATAAAACTGCCTCATAATTTTTCCTCAACCTGCATCTTTTAAACCATCGTGTTATGAGTTTGTCAGTCAGTAGACGACTTCTTGCACGAAAATTGTGATAATGGGAATAGGCCCTTGAATATCAAATCAATTGTGACATGTAAATACCATAGGTTGGAGATACAGGGATATGAGAAATGAAAAATTCACAGTAGGGAAATTGAAATCATCACATCTATCATACAACTTGATGGAAAGCTGTCCATGTTGGTTTCATTGTTGAGAAAGATTGAGATAAGCAGTTGATGTAGAAGAGTCTGTCATATCATTGATTTAAAGTTCTGGTGGATATATATGAAGATGGAGTCAAAAAACTTTCTTGTATTCAAAGAAAAGACATCATCAACATATCTGAAGGTGAAATTTAAACGACTTTGCATCAAATGTTCTTATAGAAGAAATGTTCTTTTAGAAGAGGGTGTTCTTCAAAATCCCCATACTATTAATTCCACTTCTAGAGTAAACAGTATCAAAATAAGACTGTAATTCAGATTTGCTAGTCCTTAGGATGGTGGTTAGTGTTAGTAGTTTAGACAAGGGCTTGATTGAACAGTTAGTCAAACCAGTTATAAAACATTGTTTATATCGATTCTTGTAAAGTTTAGGGTTCCAGTATCAACGAGGGTTGTCCAGATCTTTATCATTAATAGGCAATTTGAATGATTGTAATACCAAAGTATGGTTATCCAGTATCTCGTCATTTGAATGATTGCATAATATATGTTTGGGGTTTCCTTCGCTATCAAGCAAGACCAGTTCTTTTTGTATACAGATATGTAATAATGTTTGCGCAAAAAAAATCAAGTTACTGAACACCTTATCTGCAAGTACAACATCATACCTGTCATGTAAAACTTGAAGTGTGGATTTATCATCAGGATCAAAGATTGGCCATTGTTTTATTTCCAATTTTTAATTTCAAGCTGCTCATTCTTTTACAATTAATGGACCGAATGGATTTAACCCACTCAGAAAGTGAATCCAATGCAGCATGTTCTTGTTTCACCCATTGCGGATGTTTAAAGTATCAACTCCCTTATTTACAAACTCAATATTCATAAATTGGCGAGTTATTGGAGGATTGCGGCCATCTGTATGGATAGGTTTAAAGAGGTTTATGTCACATCATCAATAATTTTATCAAGTCTCCAAGCTAGTTTCCACTTGTCACCAGAAGCAGTATTAGCTGAATCCACTAGAAGCAGAGAGAGGAAGCAAATATAACATAGTTCGAACATGATGAACACCTAGTGGTTTTTGTAACGCAATTAGATTTTCAAACATGACGGTATATTGCTAGATTTCATATATAGCCTATGTCTAAGATTTCCTCTAGGTTTATGAGTGAATAAAGCCAAAACGTTAGTGTTACTACATCCAGGACAGGACAAATTTCTTACAGAGTCAGGCCGTCATTGCAGCCATATGGCGCAACAGTGCCGAGCAGTCTAATATAGTGTTCATCACGTTGTCTACAGAAGGGTGTGTTCAATGTGGGCCATTTGTATGGTGGTTAATTGTTTTCCAAAATGCAGAAATTTATTGACAGAATGGAATGGAGGTTGAAAGGTTGATACAAACATTGATTCTCTCCGCAGTTTACTGCTGAAAGATGACCATTCATATGCTTTCTCAACTGTCCTTTTCTTTCACCAACATATATTCATCCACACAGTTACAATTTAGAGACTGAAATTAAGCTTCTGTTAGTACAAACTTTATTAGTCAGAGAACTAATGCAATTCTTTCTTATCAGTAATTAGAATAAAGTTTTACAGTTTTTGTTCCGCATTTTGAAATGTTAAAAAAAATCTGAGGAGTCTGATTGGCTAAATAAATCAGTAAGTTTAATTAAAAGTATTCTTATCAATACGAGACATTTCAAGCTTGTGCCTCCTATCACAACAGGTGTCTCTCTGGTAATTAAACAATTTCTGGGCCTTATTCAGATTTCATGACATAATTATAATAGGTTATTGATTTATTAATTAACTGTTTACAACCTATCATGCCTTGTATAGCAGGATCAATAGACTTGAAATATTCACACCTCTTCAACAAACTGGATTGTGCTGGTCACTTGTGCTCAGTTAAATATCAACCCCCTTTTTAACTGATTATTATATAAAATACTATGTCACTGCTTTACTTGTTTTCAGAAAACCAGCAAAGAAAAATCTCCAAGATGGAAAAATCTCCATAAGAACTAACATATGTGTATGTTGGAGTTTACTATTTCTCTATTTTCTTTAATCCTTAAACAAAAGTTCATACTAGAGTCAATATCTTTGTTATGTTGGTGGATCGTAACCAGCTGCTATCAACAACACTGTTATACTACCGAAAAAATCAGGAATTTTTGTTGATTTCACAGGCACTCTTATTCTATGAATTCATATATCTACTGACTGTTCAAATTACAATAAGAACATTTACTGAGCTATACTTATCCATATAACCAGCTGTCCATTAGAAAACAATGACTTTTTTTACAGCCATGAAAATTTAGCCCTGCAATAATATGTGATTCCAGAGTATCAAAACTGTTATAGTTTTAATCATATCAAATGAAAATAAGAAGATCAAACATAAACATTTTCTTTTTAATAATTGTGATACTGTCAAGAAATATGCCTTGAATTTGTGTCAACTATGAGCTAATAATATGTCCTAAATGTTACAGAGGTATGGAGTCACAGATATTCCTTAATCACACCAAGTAATGCTGTGGAATTATCAATACCTTTTCAAGTATCAGTTTAGATAAAGAGATTTCATTTAATTCCTTTTCTCAAATTACATTACAAAGTTAAATTACATTGCATCTGTTTCATTTGAGGTTAATAGCTTTAGATGTTTTAATGTATTTATACTAAAACACATAATATAACACAAATGAAGGCATAATAGAGATATTTCTATGAGAAATGTCTGATAAACATTACTTAAACACTGATGACTTTATAAAACATGTCTAAGATAATGGTTAAGGCTTAATGGGGCTTCTTTTTCAATCTATTTTCTTTAAGGTTGATTGGATGTTAATTCCTACATACCAACACTGATACTGAATAGATTGTATATAGTTCAACACATTATATATCCCCACTGGTGGTAGTGACAGATGTGTCAAAATAAGCTCTGACAATGAATAGAGACATTAGAAAATATCAGAATTCACTACACAATATAAGTGGCTCTGTGTCCAGGATTGCTTCAGAAATAGTGAGACCATCCTATTGTCAATATATCTGTTATCTTCAACATGTCATACAACTTTGTTTTAAGATTCTTTGCGTGATTTGATGACCTAAGCTCAACATAAAAACCAGCTTTTTTTCTATATCTTTTACCCGATTTATTCAGTATTAAGCCGATGTCTGGTGATAAGCCCACACATGCATACTGTTGTTAAGTATAGTATTTACAAACTCAAAGGATCTCTGCAAAAAGTTCTTTGTGGTAAAGTGGCATTGAGCTATGAGACTTTTGAAGAATAATTCATTTGTAAAATAGGTCAGGTAAATCCTAAATGATTCTTTGAAAAAAGAAGTTATTTTGTTATTTATTAAAATTTCATAAAACTGTTAACACACCAGATTAATTGCTACCATCAAAATCTTAATTAAGACTTAATGCTGACCTTTAATTAACAAGATTATTCTGCTAGATCCCTCTAATTATGTCACTCTGTGAAAGCATGTGATCAAGAGTTAAAATTGAATCAAAATGAAAAGGACTTCTAAATAAAATTAAAACTTTAGAAAATTTTAAAGCCCCTGTAATCATGACTAAGTCTCCTATACCATATATCAAAATCAGATTGCATAACAAAACTATTTGAAAATCAATTATATATGCTAATGTTGATGGTTTCTCTCATCTTTAATCAAAATATAACTGAACATTTATAGCATCATGTAAATCAATACATGTACAATGACAAAAAAATGAGATTGTTAAACACTTCAAAGTAAACATAGATAAAAATTCTGATGACAGTGAGCCCTATTCCTACATGTTCGATAAGAATCAATTAACTGCAGGATCTAGATGTACAAATAGGTCATACTTACTAGATCTTTGGTTTTTGATGAAGTAAAGCTGTAATCTTTCCTTCAATGATTTTTCATTGGTAAAGAACTCAACTCGCACTCTGAAAGATATAAACATCATCAACTTTGTAAAATGTAAATATGTAATCAACACTGGATTGGAACAAATTAGACCTGATAGGACGGTCACCATGCCTGCTGCTGTAAATCATATTTCAATTTTTGCTTTTTCAAATGTAGATGTCATTGATAGATTACACTCACAAATTCAAATAACACTGTAACTATCCATGTGAAATTGTCTTTTTTTACAATGTATACCCTTAAAAATCAACAATTTACAGTTCAATGTATGTTTACAACATAACATACCACGCGTCAACAACCTTCAAAAGCGAGAGGTCAAGATGACCATTTGTATAGTGAGTGGGATCTTGAATGAGATTATGGTCAGGGGGGGCACATAGACTCTTTCACATATATGACCAGGTTTCAAACAAAACATATATATCAAATCTGCTGTCATATACCAATATGTAGAGTTATCATTGATAGTGGAGCTAGCCTGAATTAGATCTTAGGTCCTGCATTGAAACACACAGAAATACTGTCTGATCATTTGGGTTTCATCTGCCCATATGAATATACCTAGGTGTAGTTGAATAAGGTATTTAGATAAGCAACAATTTATTTTTTCTTTGTGTTACAAATTCAGGCAAATCTTTACATTCGTATTATTGTCATTGCATTGATGCAGCAAGCCTTACACCACTTTATTTCTCAAGTTAGAAAGTGACTTTAAATCTGCTACTCACTTTCATAGAATATGGTAGGGTGTGAACCAGATACAGGAGTACAAATGTTCTGTTAGATAAAGTCTATGACACTCACTGATCCAATATTACTGCTCTGGTGTCCAACTCTTTCTATTCTCACACAAACAGATTGTGCCTTCGAATTCTGGTCAATATCGTGATAAAACACACAATCTCAAATGAATTGGACGGAATCCACATGTCTTTTTTTGACAATGATATGGCTTTCATTTTTGTTTTTATCTGATTGTTTGTGACCTGACTCTGAAAGGTTTTGACAAAATGAAATATTGACCTGTAATCAACGGTTTTTATTCTGGGTTGAATTTCTCTAAAGACACATTTCTAGAGTGAAAGTTTTGTCTCTGTATGGTTAAACTTTTCAGAAGGAATGGCTATTTGAATGTGATATATTAATCTGAATATTTATTAGGACCATCAGTGGATGTTACACAACCTATTAACATAAGTCTTGTCATGATATAACAATCCCTTCAGAAGAAGCCGTGATAACATGAATTTCAATGTGGCAACTATGGTAGCCATTTTTACTGTGATAAAGGTCCAAACTTTAGTCAATCTGTGGACCATACACAACTCATTTTGTTGACGTCACAGTCCAAATTTTACTTACCATGCTTGGAGAAGTAACATTAACAAAATGTCATATAGGGCTGACATTGTGGAAATCTTGAATATCCAGTAGGTCTGAATTTTTGTTAGGAAGCCCTACACAATAGTGGAGGTCCTGTGTATGGATCATTATTCTTTTGAGAGGGGTAAACATTAATGAAATGTTTAGAGATTTCGTGACAGATGTATAGAGGATATTTAATGGTTTCCTGTGTAATATCATATCTCTACCATTGTATGGCATTAATACATTGTAACCTTACCACAGCTGTGTGTTACTAACTCATGAACTGCCAACTGTGAAGAAATATAATGTAAACAGATTGAGGTTTCCTTCCCTTGTATCAAACTTAATAAAGTACCAAACTGCCTTCAATTGGCTTTTAAGGGCATATGAATGTAAATTGGATAAGGGTAAATTCAACATAACACATTCCATTACAATTACCCTTATCCTGTTGGCGTTCATATGCCTATGAACGTCAACTAAAAGCAGTTCAATGTTTAAATGCATATCTAGAGATATTTTGTCATATGAGTGATTTCGTCACTAGAAAAATTTATATTTTTCACTGCAGTGATGATATATATAACTTTTTATCAAATTGCTATATTCCTACATTTCACTGGCAAAAATGTTATAAATATAGATATACCGAGATAGAATGAAGCAACTCTACTTGTCTTGGACCAGCAGCACTGAACTTATTTTAAATGTATGCCATTGTTGTAACAAACCACATGTAATTTCTACTTTAATTTTTGATAAGTTTTTTCTTTAAATAACAATAAACATAGTCACAATTAATGATTGTGACTGCTGAGTGTGTGAGTTTGTAGGTTGAAAAAAATTACAGAGTTATCACCAATGTATTGATTTATACTGCTCTGAATATTACCCATTGTTTGTCATCAATGCTATCATACCTTATGTTATTATTTGAAAGCTGTGCACTTGAAAATGCACCAATTCCAAGCAAACAACAGATAGGATATGATGATAAATCATATTGAAACATACCTAGAATTTGCATGTTGAAATTAATTCCAGGATAGAGATGTTTTTTTAATGAAATTGATTCATGGTATCTTTCGTTCATCATACTTCTGCTAAAATAGTGTGATAGTACAATGGTCATAAGTACCTGCAAATCATATGCACTGTACACATTTCAGCATAACAGTAAAATAGAAATTCTACCTGGAATCAAAGGATATTTTCCAAATTCTACTTGGAATCAAAGGATATTTTCCAAATTCTACTTGATCCTTTTTCCAAATTCTACTTGGAATCAAAGGATATTTTCCAAATTCTACTTGGAATCAAAGGATATTTTCCAAACAACCTACTTTTAACACTAACATATCTTTGAGATGCATTGACTGGAAGAAATCCAAAGCTGACCTTCAAAGAAAGTTTTCTAAAAAAAAACTGTACATTTTCCTCTGACTTAATTTTCCTGGTTTTTCAATACAAATACTATTTTGTGGAAAAATATAGAGCTAAAACAAATCTATTTACACTTTATGAGTTAACATTTTATGGGCATATAAATCTGTGGATTAGGAGTACCATCAATATCAACAAAAATAAAACACCAACGAAAATCAATGATTTTACAGCATTTCAAAATCACGATTATATTGTAGATTTCTGGCTACACACAACCAGTACTAAATTGTTGAGAATGCAATTTTCTGTTGGGCAAGAATCACAAAACAGCATGAAATAATGTAATCTCACAATGTGATGATCATATTATATGGTAATGTTAAAGTGAACATTGACAATAATGTAGCACTACTGCCAATAAACGACTTTACTTACTGTGGAGGTGGTGGTATATTATCACAGTTTAACGACAAACGGCGAACTCCACTGTTCCGATGGAAATCTCCTCGATGATGCTGATTTCGTTGTTTATGTCGCATGGAGGAATTAATACTACGAGTCCTTGGATTGTATATATGATGATACAGCCAAACATTGGACATCATAAACTGTAGGGATGTCCCTTATGCCAACAACAAAAAAATTAAATAAACACCTTAAATACCTTAAAATATTTAAGGTCTTAAACATGATTCTATCTGGAACCATAACAGACATGGCAATGTGCCTTTAGAATGAGAAGCACTTATATGATGACAATATGAAGAACTTAAAGTTGCCAACTTAATTAAATGATAGCACCAAAAACCTTGACACAAGCCTCTAGATATATTCCAAATATCAGGGTTTAACAGAGCAGTGATCAGCATCCAATATCCTGATTAAAAGTCCTCAGATTCTATAGCTGTCACCCACCTCATCCAAGGTATACAGTAAAATCTACATTATCATATACTAGTGATCAAAAACTATGTATCATATATACCATCTCCTAACTATTTGCCCTATTTTCCAGATTATAAGCAGTGGCCTTTTTCCTTGTCTGTTGGGGATGCGACTATTTTCCAGATTATAAGCAGTGGCCTTTTTCCTTGTCTGTTGGGGATGCGACTATTTTCCAGATTATAAGCAGTGGCCTTTTTCCTTGTCTGTCGGGGATACGACTTATATATCAGTGCGACTAAAAAAAACTAAAAAGTTGATGAAATTATCAAGGTTACCGTCTACCCCTTTGGAGGAATCCCCATTCTTTCTCAAAAATGTGAATCATTAATTCACAAATGAATTTTCTTCACAGCAAGACATGATTTATGTTTTAATATGTATGAATTTTATATCTAAACTCTAACTTTGCTACTTTCAAGATGACTGTGTAGTCTTGCTTTACTGAAGTTGTCATACTGCACTTCCAGTGGCAGGCTACCCGGAGAAGGGTAGAGTACAACATGGTAACAAGTTACCAAACACCCATCTATCACTTGTTTGTGGCTAAAGGCTAAAACAAATTGTCTAAAACCCTCATTTTCAATCGTATACGGGATGATTTTGATATTAAAATAACATTCTCATGGATTTAAGTAATCATTTCCGTGATTGCTTGGAAGCCATAATGGAAGTATACAATACACTGTTGCATCATGGGATAGATAGGTTATAGTTGCGCAAGATAGTCTTTGAAGTCTCCCAAGCCAAAAGAGTTCAATAATCGCTATAGTAAAATCTAAATAGCATACAAAAATACCTGAGAAATTATCCCCAAACTGATAACAGATCCAAATATATAAACAAATGTCCCAAACTGATTCCAGACCAAAATATCTATATAGATGTCCCCACACTGATAACAGAATAAAATATCTATACACAGATATCCCCAAACTGATAACAGACCAAAATATCTATACACAGATATCCCCAAACTGATAACAAACCAAAATATCTATACACAGATATCCCCAAACCAAAATATCTATAACAGATATCCAAAATATCTATACACAGATATCCCAAACTGATAACAGACCAAAATATCTATACACAGATATCCAAAAACTGATAACAGACCAAAATATCTATACACAGATATCCCCAAACTGATAACAGACCAAAATATCAATACACAGATATCCCCAAACTATCTAGATAACTGATAACAAACAAAATATCTATACACAGATATCCCCAAACTGATAACATACCAAAATATCTATACATAGATATCCAAAAACTGATAACAGACCAAAATATCTATACACAGATATCCCCAAACTGATAACAGACCAAAATATCTATACACAGATATCCCCAAACTGATAACAGAACAAAATATCTATACACAGATATCCCCAAACTGATAACATACCAAAATATCAATACACAGATATCCCAAACTGATAACAGACCAAAATATCTATACACAGATATCCAAAAACTGATAACAGACCAAAATATCAATACACAGATATCCCCAAACTGATAACTGACCAAAATATCAATACACAGATATCCCTAAACTGATCAGAGACCAAAATATCTATACACAGATATCCAAAAACTGATAACAGACCAAAATATCTATACACAGATATCCCCAAAACTGATAACAGACCAAAATATCTATACACAGATATCCCCAAACTGATAACAGACCAAAATATCAATACACAGATATCCCCAAACTGATTAGAGACCAAAATATCTATACACAGATATCCCCCAAATATGATAACAGACCAAAATATCTATACAAAGATATCCCCCAAACCTGATAACAGACCAAAATATCTATACAAAGATATCCCAAAACTGATAACAGACCAAAATAACTATACACAGATATCCCCTAACTAATAACAGACCAAAATATCTAGACACAGATATCCCCCAAACCTGATAACAGACCAAAATATCTTATACACAGATATCCCTAAACTGATAACAGACCAAAATATCTATACACAGATATCCCCAAACTGATAACAGACCAAAATATCTATACACAGATATCCCCAAACTGATAACAGACCAAAATATCTATACATAGATATCCCCCAAACCTGATAACAGACCAAAATATCTTATACAGACCAAAATATCTTATACACAGATACCCCAAACTGATAACAGACCAAAATATCTATACACAGATATCCCAAACTGATAACAGACCAAAATATCTATACACAGATATCCCCAAACTGATAACAGAACAAAATATCTATACACAGATATCCCCAAACTGATAACAGACCAAAATATCTATACACAGATATCCCTAAACTGATAACAGACCAAAATATCTATACACAGATATCCCAAAACTGATTACAGACCTAAATATCTATACACAGATATCCCAAACTGATAACAGACCAAAATATCTATACACAGATATCCCCAAACTGATAACAGACCAAAATATCTATACACAGATATCCCCCAGATATCTGTACATATCAATACAGATTACCCAAACTGATAACAGATTAATTGAAAATTAAATAATGACAGAGAAAAACTCACATACACAAGCTTATAACAGACCACAATATTGATGATTGGATATCCTTTACCTGAAAAACAGATTAAAATTTTTTAACAACTATATCTGATATAGACAACTGCCATGTCATCTAAATTGTATAAAATATTACAAAGTATGAAAACAGCTCCAAGGTCTAAGCTGTATGGATATTCCAGGTCGTAATACCTAGAACCAAAACCAGTAGATATCAGTGATGTCACCAGACAGAAACATCGAAACAGATGGGATGATATATGGTGATCCAGATATTTCATCCCTTATCACTGACACAGTAAGTAAAACTAGACTCTAGAATAATCATACCCTGAGACATGACAAAGTCTGTCCAACAGTTCCAATATCAACAAATCCAATCACTGAACACACTGCAGTATTGCAACATTATAGGCTGAAAACAAATGTTGATTTGCCTCACATCACAAACAGAATATATTGACAGACCTTTTTATAGATCTGTCGTAACACCCTGAACATTGCTCACCAAATGTTTGAGGTTTCCCACCGGTACCAAACCATCAGACAACATGACGAAAAAAGTTTCATTCAATTACGTGTTAACAATGGCCTTCATCAATAATTTATTACCCCTATCAACGTCACGGTTACCACATTACTTAGAACAACTGCAAATAGTTAAACATGATATATTTCTCTAAGCTCTTTACATGTGAATAAACAGTTCAATATTGTAATGAACTAATAAGATTACAAAATGTTCACTATATTTTTTTTCCAAAAAATTATCAAGGTTCAGTTATTTGCATTGAACAAAATCATTATCAACTTATCATGAGAATGGTAATCGATGTAAAAAAAAAATCTGTTTTTAAAATTCCCTATTAAATAAGCCCTCATTTCACTTTCAATCCAGCTAGAGCAAGCTTAATTTTTAACAGCAATCAGTTTTTGTAAAGAATACAATGGTTCCATCTACCATCATAGCCAAAGAAAGACAGGAACTTTATTCCGTTGTGAAAAAACTGAAGTGAATTGTTGTTTGCAACTCATGATGGACAACGGATAATGGCGGACAAAAGACATTCGCAAAATGTCTCTTCAGACTTCATCTCAGGTGACATAAAAACTTCAACTCAATTTCAATTCTAAATAAAGGTTATTTCTGTTGAGTCTTATATTTTACAATTTATGAGGTTGGAACAAAACTATGTAAAGACACAATGGGAATAAAAGTGACAGATTCCAAAATCAGTTTCAGGACTTTCATGGAAAATACATCATTTTCACTATAAGCTTTAGGTAAAAAGCAAGGGTTGGGACTTAAGCATTTCTTCTTATTTCTTCCATGCCCGAATGTTGATTCTGGGATGTCAAAGTGGGTTGGCATGAAATCCAATTCTTTTGGGGTAGTCAATGGCGTTCAGTTTCTCTTTGGCTGTAAATGATGCTAGCTGTTTCCACATGTCAAAGTCAATGTAAGCAATCCATCAGTAAGTACATTCAGTTACCGCAGTAGGTACAGATACCATGAAAGGTCATACCAATACTGAACATATCACCTGCTTTTATGGGACAATGTAGGATTGAACATTTTCAGATTGTTAAAACAACATAGTTTTCTGACCATTTGCTCACGTTCAGCCCAGACCGGGTGTCGTCAATCTCTTCATACTCAATGTGTTACTTGTTAATAACTGTTAATTATCCAATTAGCCTAGCCTTATAATTCAATGCGGTTTCCTAAATGTTGATGGATCAAAACATCAACTGTGTCACCATGGTAACCGGTAATCAATATCTATATTAAATATATATATATATACATATATATTTTTTAAAATCTGCCCCTAAAAACATACTTCTGCATTATACCCGAGTACACACTATTTATACCATTGAAAATAAACCCTTTTACAGTACAAACGATTATTTGCTAATAAGCTTTAAGCAGGGCAGTTGAAAAGTCTTTTCTTTCCAATAGAGTTACATTTATATTAGGTATTTTCTGTCTCCTATAACTGGTTCTACTACTTGCTT